TCCGGCGTCCAGAAAAAATAGAACTCTTGTGATCAGCTGAGGAGTCCGGCGATCCGCAGAGGAACGGAAAGAAGTCGGTGTAAATTGACACGTTAACTTGAATGGTTACGATCAGCTACGATCGGAGGATACAACCTTTTAGGAGACGATCAGGATGAAGGTGGAGGTCGGGGGTTACTAATGTAGTTAAGAAGAGTTCATCATCAGCACAAGGAAGTATTTCATAACAAACATCAGGGGTAATGGATGGAAACAGAAGAGCGTCTTCTGCACAACAGCTGATCTGACATGATCCCGTGAACACTTCTCCACACTGACGAAGTTTAATAAAAACGAGCATCATCAGTGTAGAGGGTATTTGACACGGTGGAGATCGATAATGGAGCGTCATCTGCATATTGATTTAGAATTGTCCATGAGTTTTACGAAGACACATTCACCACAGAAGTCAGAGCAGGTTTTTAACGAGAATAAACCGATAAAAGTGTGTCGGGATTTTTGACGGAAAAACACGAAATAATGAAGGAAAAAAAGAGGAATTTTTCCTCTGAGGTTCAGCGAGCGCCTGATTTCAGACCCTGCTTGTTACTGTGAAATTGTGGACACCAAACTCTGCTTCTCAGCTGAGATCACATCCAGCAACCTGCGACCAGACCTTGTTTTGTGGTCAGCCTCACTCAAACTCGTCTTCATCAGCGAGCTCACTAACCCTGGGAGGGTGTAGTGGAGGAGGCCTACGAGCGCAAGACGCTGAGGTACGCCAAACTCGCCGCAGATGCTCAACAACAACTGGGCTACTCAGAGAGATGGGAGTGCGAGGGAAGGAAGGCACACCGGCAGGCAGTCAAGGACCTCTCCAGGGCCGCTGAAGGGGAGCCAGTGGGCGTGGTTAAAGAGACAGGACTCCACGTGGGCCTGCGGGTGAGTTGACGGCATCCAGGGAGTCAGCCCGGGACGCTGGGTTTCGCTGTTGAACCCTCTGGAGGTGTCGTGGGCCAATCAACGAACCACCGAAGCAGAAGGGCGCCCACCTGATGACCCGAAGGATGCCATCGATCATCTGAAGACCCTACAGCGGTGCTTTGAGTATCATCATCAATCCCACTCAAAGGTATGTGGTCAGGTGCAAGCGTGGCTCAGGGAGAAGGACGTCCCTGCCGAGCAGAGTCCACGGCACTTTGGACAACAACATCATATCCTGTGTTTTTATGAATCAATGACACAAACCTGAGGTCACATGACCTGTAGAGAGCGCCCTCAATGGTCAGAGTGAAGAGCAGAAGGACCAGCAGAGCTCAGGTAAAGGTTTATGACTGGTGCGCTTTATTAAGATGAACTGATAACTTAAGATATAGACACAATTGTACAATTTATCAATCTGTACAAACATAAAACCATCGGGTCGACCCCCCTCTCACGTTGAAATGACATCATGTCACTCGTTTACACGTTTACACTGGAATTACAGTCAGTTATCGAATATAAAAAAAAAGAAATCAAAAAACACACGTCTTAAAAAAACACAGAACAATGGAGGAACATGAACAGGATCAGAAATCAGGAATCACCTCGTCCACAGATCGCCAGCTAGTGAGGCGGCGAGGCCCGGCTGCCGGCGCCGTCTGTTAGAACAAAAACGCCATTGGCACTGCCAGCCAGGCCCGCCCGCTCCAGAACTACCCATCTACCCCCTGTCTCTACACGCACACACACACATACGCACACACACACCAAGGTCAGGCATTGTATACGTCTGCTAACACCACCACACACTGACACGGCTACCACCTGGAGGTTCTACTGAGCACACACTCGGAGAGTTTTAGCCACAGGTTAGCGAGGCGTCTGTCAGCCGGGCGCCACGATTAAGCATCATCCTAGCTAGCTCGCCAAGCGTAACCCTCAGCGGATTTCATGGACAGTAATGTTAGCTACATAAGGCGATACGACGTGGAGTGCAGTCGTAGAGAAAGCCATGCGTTGTGTTGAAGTCAGAGGCAGCTCGGTGTGTGTAGGCTCAATGTGACGGGTCAACGTGGGTCAACACAGGTCAACATGGGTCAACGCAGGTCAACATGGGTCAACACGGGTCAACGCGGGTCAACACAGGTCAACACGGGTCAACACGGGTCAACACGGGTCAACGTGGGTCAACGCGGGTCAACACGGGTCAACACAGGTCAACGTGGGTCAACACGGGTCAACACGGGTCAACGTGGGTCAACACAGGTCAACACGGGTCAACGTGGGTCAACGCGGGTCAACACGGGTCAACACAGGTCAACGCGGGTCAACACGAGTCAACACGGGTCAACGCGGGTCAACGCTGGTCAACGTGGGTCAACGCGGGTCAACACAGGTCAACACGGGTCAACACAGGTCAACACGGGTCAACACAGGTCAATGCGGGTCGACACAGGTCAACACGGGTCCGTCTCTTCACGGGGAGGACGGAGCGAAGGTTCTGATGAAGAGGGAGGCGGGTGAAGGTGAGTTCTTGGCAGGTGAATGAGGGGCGTGTCTGCAGGGTGAGCGGAGGAGGAGGCACTAGGACCTGGAGGAGACCCAAGTCCAGCTCAGAGCGCCAAAGGAAACTGATCGAGTTCTGTAGAGTTCTGGTTCTGTTTCAGTCTGAGAGAAGGAGGAGGTCCAGATTCTTCTTCATGTGCGGTAAAAACTAACTCTAAACAGAAAGCGTGTTTACTAAATCAGCCGTTTAGGTTTCAGTGCAACAGTTTGACTTCCTCATGAAATCCCGCCGAGCGTCCGAACTACAGCTCTGTGCGTACATGCAAAGCTCCAACGCCATTGGACCGAGTTTGGATCAGAACATTAGTGAGTATCACCGTCCTCAGACAGAGGGGTCAAGTCCTTCATTTAATAACTAAGGAAAGAAATCAGCCGTGTGCGAGTTTCTGCATAGTTGTTGTTGTTGTCCGATGTGTTCAAACACGAAAACGGCGTTCTGATCGTCGCCGTCGGAGCGGCGCCGTGTCTGCAGGACCACGGGAAACCCTCTAAAGGTGAGACCGCAGAGTCGTCCACCTGATCAACATGCAGCTCAGCAGAGAGCCTTCGACAGAGACATGCAAAGCTGTCACAGCCCAACAGCGCCACCTGCTGGAAACACAGGGACAACACCGCTGCATGCACGCTCGCTCGCCCACGCCGGCCGTCCTGCTGCACCAACTGAAGCGAGTTTCTACGTTTCACTAGCGTTTATATTCACAGCAATCAGATCAACATGGTATGACACGGCCGGAGCACGCCGCCGCTCTACACGGTGGCGCTCCGCCGTACATCCACGTGGTTTCCACAACAGTACATTGCACTAAAGAGGAGGGGGCGGGGCTAATATGACAGCTCATATATAGGAATACACTTGATGTGCTTTAATTGATATATACCTAAGAGTAGATATATAAGAGAGACAGACAGACAGACAGACAGCTGATAGAAAAGGTGGAGGAGCGGACAGAAGAAGAAGAAGAAGAAAACTCATCATCATCATCATCATCATCATCATCATCATCACATTCATATATTAAGACATTTTCGTGACTCAGCGCATCTACAGTAATGAAATCTAAAGTGATATGAAATGCCTGCTGCCTGCGCTCCTGAGGGGGGGCTCTGCTGGGGCGGGGGGGGGCCACCCCACACGGTGACTTTTATACTGGGATATATTTACCAGGGCGGGGGGGGGGCGGGGTCAGGGTGAGGAGTGGGGGGGGGGGCAGGTACAGGTAGGTGCAGAGCTGTGGCTCCTCCCTCACACACCACATAGTACAACGAGGCAGTCTCTTCTCTGAGGGGGCGGGGCTTGAGGAGCTGTGAGCGGGGTGGGGGTGGGGGGGGTGGGGCTGTGGGTAAGGGGGTTTGGGGGGGCAGCAGATCCGTAGCGGGCTAGATGTTCTGACAGCACTGCATCTTTGGTTTGTTCTCAGTGGGCTGCACCTGGATGTTGACCACGTTGTTGCTAGGCGACATGTCGCTCTCCTGACGCTCCGACATCTGCTTCTGGGAGACGATACGGTAGATCTCTGAGGGGGGAGGGAGAAAGGGGGAGGGAAGGGGTGTAAACATGAATTAAAAACCTCATAGGAAAGTCCAGGGTCACTCACATCACAACATCAAAAACTACACTTCCTGTCTCCAAACATCCCACTTCCTGTCTCCAAACATCCCACTTCCTGTCTTTAAAGTCAAACTCTTTTTAATGTAATTCCAGCAAACAACAGCAGGTGGAGCTCTGAAGTTACAGAGAGAGAGAGAGGACGAGAGAACGGAGGGACTCAGAGTTTGAAGCAGCTCTGCCCCCCCAGAGACTAAACCCTCCGTCAAAGACTAGACCTCAGAGACTAGACCTCAGAGACTAGACCTCAGAGACTAAACCCTCCGTCAAAGACTAGACCTCAGAGACTAGACCTCAGAGACTAAACCTCAGAGACTAAACCTCAGAGACTAAACCCCCCGTCAGAGACTAAACCTCAGAGACTAGACCTCAGAGACTAAACCTCAGAGACTAAACCCCCACTCAGAGACTAAACCTCAGAGACTAAACCTCAGAGACTAAACCCCCACTCAGAGACTAAACCTCAGAGACTAGACCTCAGAGACTAAACCCCCACTTAGAGACTAAACCTCAGAGACAAAACCTCAGAGACTAAACCTCAGAGACTAAACCCCCACTCAGAGACTAAACCTCAGAGACTAAACCTCAGAGACTAAACCTCAGAGACTAAACCCCCACTCAGAGACTAAACCCTCTGTCAGAGACTAAACCCCCACTTAGAGACTAGACCTCAGAGACTAAACCCCCACTTAGAGACTAAACCTCAGAGACTAAACCTCAGAGACTAAACCCCCACTCAGAGACTAAACCCTCTGTCAGAGACTAAACCCCCACTTAGAGACTAGACCTCAGAGACTAAACCCCCACTCAGAGACTAAACCTCAGAGACTAAACCTCAGAGACTAAACCCCCACTTAGAGACTAAACCTCAGAGACTAAACCCCCCGTCAGAGACTAAACCCTCTGTCAGAGACTAAACCTCAGAGACTAAACCTCAGAGACTAGACCTCAGAGACTAAACCCTCCGTCAAAGACTAGACCTCAGAGACTAAACCCCCACTCAGAGACTAAACCCTCCGTCAAAGACTAGACCTCAGAGACTAAACCTCAGAGACTAAACCCTCCGTCAAAGACTAGACCTCAGAGACTAAACCCTCTGTCAGTCCTGATCCGAGGAGACTGAACCACGGAGGGTAAAGAGGAGGAAGTCCATTTTTATATCCTGGAGACATGAAGTTTTACGGAGTTAATGATCTCTCCGTTGTCACACTAACACAGTTATCTCTGTGGTTAGTCATGTGACTGCAGTTAGTCATGTGACTTGTGATCAGAAGACCGGACACTCCTCACAGACGAGCCGCTCAGACAACCTGACTTTACAAAGTTCAGAACCAGGAGCTGACTGACATCTTAGAGAGAGGACAGCAGAACCTGCAGGTTTGTCTCTGTGTGAAGATAAGGACCGTTTGGACCCGGTGGTACTGACCCGTCAGAATGGTCTGGAAGGCCGTCTCGACGTTGGTGGAGTCCAGAGCCGATGTCTCCAGGAAAGATAAACCGTTTTTCTCTGCAACAGAAAACGAAGTTAACCCAAAACCAAATATGTGACATTCCTCAGATAACAGACCGGTATGAACCGGTTACCATGGAGATACGGGGGGTTAAAGAGTGAGAGTGAGAGTGAGAGAGAGAGAGAGAGAGAGAGAGAGAGAGAGAGAGAGAGAGGAGTCTGCAGCAACCCCAGCTGTGAGGCATGATTGTGCAGCACTTCACTTCAAATGTAAATAAAAAGTAAAATTCATCCATGATAATAATAAAAATAAAAATAATAATAATAAAAGTATAATAATAATAATAATAATAATAATAATAATAGTAATAATAATAATAGTAATAATTATAATAATAATAAATAATAATAATAATAATAATAATAATAGTAATAATTATAATAATAACTAATAATAATAATAATAATAATAATAATAATAGTAATAATTATAATAATAATAACTAAATAATAATAATAATAATAATAATTATTATTATTATCATTATCATTATTATTATAATAACTAAATAATAATAATAATAATAACAACTAAATAATAATAATAATAACTAAATAATAATAATAATAATAACAACTAAATAATAATAATAATAACTAAATAATAATAACAATAATAATAATAGTAATAATTATAATAATAATAACTAAATAATAATAATAATACTTTTTTCTATAAAGGGCACCTTTTAGGACACTCAGGGTCACCCTATTGTCTCTCAAACACTTGGAATGAGATACAAACAGACCCTGAAACAGACCCTGACCCTCAGTCAAAGACCTCACAGACTAAAACCAAACCTCTGATGAGTTTGTTGAATTTCTCAGTGAAACTCGGACTTTAAAGTGGTTATTTGGACTTTCTCTGACATATATTCACTCTCTTTTGTTTCCAGTCTCAGTGACCATCAGAGTTCAGTTTGGACGTTAATAAATCTCTGACCCGTCTATGATCAGAACAAGTTTCTACTTTAACGTCTTAAATCTTCTTATAGACTCTCTGTCCTTTTCACTGCTGCTGCTGTTGTTGTTGTTGTTTTGTCAGGATGCAGGTGGTAAACCTGCTCAGACTCTCCTGAGGGGAAGGAAACGGTCAAAGTTAAACGCAGGAAAAAGGGCGGGGCAGCATCAGCTCCATAAACAGCTGAGAGTCAGACCAGACCACAAGTGAGGAGCCGTCTGGATTTCAGAACCAGATTCAGTCCAAGAACATCCACAGCCTGGTTCCTCACACACACACGAAAATAACCGGGGATCTGTCTTACCTGCGAAAGCCCGAGCCTCGTCAGTAGGAACGGCTCGGAGGTGACGCAGGTCGCTCTTGTTGCCCACCAGCATGATGACGATGTTGCTGTCGGCGTGATCCCTCAGCTCCTTCAGCCAGCGCTCCACGTTCTCATAGGTTAGATGTTTGGCGATGTCGTAGACCAGGAGCGCTCCGACTGCCCCGCGGTAATACCTGCAGACCCCGTTACAGGAGAGGTTCAGAAACACACCACTGAAACATCAACGTCAGAGCTGAAATCCACATGTAAATACGGCGGTGAAGTTAGTTTTAGGTTGGATATATTTTCCTGTAAATACGGCGGTGAAGTTAGTTTCAGGTTGGATATATTTTCCTGTAAATACGGCGGTGAAGTTAGTTTCAGGTTGGATATATTTTCCTGTAAATACGGCGGTGAAGTTAGTTTCAGGTTGGATATATTTTCCTGTAAATACGGCGGTGAATTTAGTTTCAGGTTGGATATATTTTCCTGTAAATACTGCGGTGAAGTTAGTTTCAGGTTGGATATATTTTCCTGTAAATACGGCGGTGAAGTTAGTTTCAGGTTGGATATATTTTCCTGTAAATACGGCGGTGAAGTTAGTTTCAGGTTGGATATATTTTCCTGTAAATACGGCGGTGAAGTTAGTTTCAGGTTGGATATATTTTCCTGTAAATACGGCGGTGAAGTTAGTTTCAGGTTGGATATATTTTCCTGTAAATACGGCGGTGAAGTTAGTTTCAGGTTGGATATCTGACGGACATTCTCTGAGGATCTACCGGTGTCTTCTCACTCTCCATAACCGGGAATAACAACAGCAGCGCGGTTAAATCTACTCGACACCCTCACTGTCAACGTCGGTGTTGAATAAGGGACCGTCAATAAATTACCGGTTGATGTTCTCAGAAAAGGCTGTTTTCCTTCCCTACTGATGTGCAGACTCTCTGACTAAAGGTGAATGCTGCCCTAAACGGGTCCGCTGTAGTCTGGGGGGGCCCTCAGACCCCCTCCTCTGTACTCACGCTGATGTGATGGCTCGGTAGCGCTCCTGACCGGCCGTGTCCCAGATCTGGGCCTTGACCGTCTTCCCGTCCACCTGGATGCTGCGCGTGGCGAACTCAACTCCGATGGTGCTCTTACTCTCCAGGTTAAACTCGTTCCGGGTGAAACGAGACAGCAGGTTACTTTTGCCCACCCCCGAGTCTCCGATCAGGACCACTGAAACACAGAGAGGAGAGAGCATCATGGTTTATCACCTGGACACCTGCGTTTGAACCTCAGACAGAAGAACGTCCTTCATCTTCATCTTCATCTTCATACTTCTATCAAACTCCTGATCTTCAAATATAACTTTAGACTTTGCTCAGTGGTTCTCAACTGGTGGGTCCCGACCCAAAAGCTGGTCGCAGACACGTTCTGGATGGGTCGCGAACAGCTGGTCAAAATAAAAAATATTTGATGCTCAGCTGATGTTTGACATGTCTTTTATTCTGAAAAATATCTTATTTTGAAAGGCATTTGTTATGTCGTGGTCCTCCTCGGTTTCTTATTATTGTGGCCTGATGCAGTAAAACTAAATTCATGTTTTTTTTAAGGTCTTTATTTTGTTTAATGTGGTTCTTCTGATTATGTTCTGAATGTTTTTTTCATGGTCCTGGTCTCCATTTTTGGTGATTTGATATTTTCTGTACACCAAACTTCAGTTCATTCAATAAAAACAGTGAATTCATGTCAAAGATTTTTTATAATGAATTAATGTTCTTGGTTTGAATTTTATAAAAGTGGGTCGTGACTGAAGGATCATGGGAAAATGTGGGTCCCAGAGTGAGACCAGTTAAGAACCACTGATCTAGACCATGAAGGAAAACCGGGTTTTGGACCCTGTTTTTCTGATCCTGTTCATGAAAGTCCTCCCTAATCAAAGATCTATCAGGAGAGGAGAGGACTCTGATGGGGGTCCACATGGACTACAGAGGCTGGGGTCTACATGGTCACACACAGTCCTGAGAAGTGGTCTAACTGTAGACCTGCAGGTCTCTGTCTCTCACTGAGACCGTCCCAGAACCCTCTGTTTATCATGGACCCACCAGTCTACTAACTCATGGACCAGCTAACAGGCAGGGTCGTGTCCTGGGCTTTTGGACCACCAACACTGCTGGGGGGGCCAGGAACCATGTGAGACCCCACCCCCCAAATAAATCCCCTTTCTAGGACTGGGCAATAAAACGACGATGATACATGTGTAAAATTATTTTCCCCCGATATCGATATAAAACACGATCAATATCCTTCTCAATAGTCGTCATTCTGACATGTTTTGGTCGACTATACGAACAGCCAATAAAAAGGGGAGTTTCTCCGGGTCTGAACCAATCATGTTCTGAATTAGAACCAAGTATCAACCAACTGCAAAGTGGTAGCAGACAGCAGCTACACCTCTCGGGGTTTGTAACCTTCTGCGTTGCGCGTGCTCTGCGGCGTGGCGCTGCTTCAGGTGGTGAAAAAGATTTGAGGTATTCCCCGACTTTGTGAGAACATGTACTCGACATAATTTACAGTCCACATTACTCTGCTTCATGTCCGACCTCCAAAAACCAAAATACCTCCACACCACCGACGTTTTCCTAACGCCAGTGTTGTGGTTGACATTGATGTGGTCATCTGTTGAGCCTTCATGGTCATTTCTGTCGGGGGTAGCACTCATTTTCTTTGTTTCTCACCAACAGTGCTGTCGGCTTCACCTGTTAAAGTGCTATGGTTGGGTGGAGCTGCTGTCTGTTGGTTGATACTTGGTTCTGACTCAGAACATGATTGGTTCAGACCCGGAGAAACTCCCCTTTTTATTGGCTGTTCGTATAGTCGACCAAAACATGTCAGAATGACGACTATTGAAAAGGATATTGATCATGTTTGATATCGATATTGAAGGAAATTAATCTTGGATATCGTTATCGTTTTATCGCCCAGCCCTACACCAAGGATTAACAGGGACGTCTGCGGTTTCTGGTCTACAGGTAGACCCAGTCTATGTCATTAGGACTGTAGACCCGGTCTCTGTAGACCCGGTCTCTGTCAGTGGACTGACCTCAGACCCTGAACACAGAACCAGAACTGTTCTGAAAACCAGTTTCTTCTCATCAAGAATCAAACTGTAAATTAGTCCAGACTGTCAGAGTCCAGTCTGACCCGGTCCTCTTTAGAGTCCAGTCTGACCCGGTCCTCTTTAGAGTCCAGTCTGACCCGGTTCTCTCGTCTCCTCAGTTTCTTTCTTAAACCCAGATAAACATGAAAACACTCAGAGACTCTTTCAAGTCTGTTTTTCTTTATTTTCCTCTTTTTTTCTGTGCCTGCTGACTCTAACGGACCGGGTCTGTGTGAAGAACCGGGTCCCGGTTCCGGTTAGGTGTGTCCGGCCCACAGGCTAACCCTGAGCTAACGGCTAACGTTAGCTTTAGTGTTTTTCTTCATTATTATAAAATAAAAGGACAAAAACAGAGATAATCTTCTCTCAGAGGACAGAGGAGGGTCTTTTTAACTCTTCTTTACAGTCAAACTGTCTGAAAATATTAAACTTTAAACTGAAAATTAAAATAAAAACATTTAAAAAACCATAAAAGCACAAAGACTGACGGTTAGCTTTAGCCTCTTAGCTAACAGACATTTAAACTCATTTACCTTTGAACAGATAATCATACTCATCGTCTCTGGTGCCCATCGTCTTATTGGGAACTGATCAGTCCAATATCGATGATTTAATGATCAAAGAAGGTGATCGAATCTTTTATTCACTTCCAACGGGATTCTGTTTGGAAACCTTACTTCCGCGATTTCTTCTTCTGCTGTTTGATGGAATAAACAGCTCGAGGAGACGACGACACCATCTGGCGGTCAGAGAGGGAACTGCTGATGAGGTTTTATTAAAGCTCCTGTGTGGAGGAGTCTGAACCACCTGAAATTCATACTGCTGCATCTTTAAAGGGATATTCTGACATAAAATTAATTTAGGGTCAAACCCACCATAACACAGAGTTAGACCCCCCCTCCAGAGATGAATGTTGTCGACCGCTTCCTTCTCTAGTTATACCAACTTTAGTAACGACCGCAGGATAGAAATACACAGCGGTCTGAGGAGCCATAAACAAACCTCAACCAAAACGCCACTCTATAGCTGCAAATAATGTTCAGAACAGCACCTAACGTCATCAACAGGACATATAGGGTCACAGACATAGTACTATATTCAGAGTTGTTCTAACTCCTAAGAAAATATAAACTTATGAGGGGGCGTTTCTCCACTTCAGTAGTCTATAAGTTGGGCCAATAAACTTCTACTGTAGTAAGATGAAAAGGTAAAGGTGTTTTTATTGAGCCGAATTATCAATAAAATCATGATTTTGTTAACAGGTATGGATTTATGTGCTGTCGAGTTAGTATATTTGAACAAGAGCACAGTAAAGTTAAATCAGCAAATTTTCCAATGAGGTTCTGTTACTGAACGGAACTACACCATGTTCTACTCAGGTTAGTACATATAGGGTCACAGACATAGAACTAGACACCAAACATCTTTTTAACTTTGACTCATTTCTTTAGCAAAGAGACTAAACACAACTCACCTACTCTCTTCCAGCAGACGCTTGTTTGTAAGCGGCTTGTAAGACAGAAGAACTACCGCGTCTGTAAAATGATCAATATGGTGATTATTACTTCAAGGAATTATAAAGAAATGATGAAGTAATGATCCCTTTTACTGTCAGAAATCAGCTTCCGAACTACAAAAGCCAAAAAAAGAACATGAGCAGAATAATAGTGAGGACATGAAACCTGAAGAAAATCAGAAAGGAAAATAAGATATTTATTTATTTGTATTCTGAAAAGGTAAAAACCCAGACTGCAAAGTGACGACAGAGGCGGCTGAGAGCCTCGATTCAGAGCAACATATAAATACAATCAAAGATTATTGATCAAAATCTGATTTTAATGGATAATTTAAACAATATCTGAGATTTTTTTTGTCAGACAGGAGCTGCAGGAAGAACATCTGCAGGAACAGATGTTTCTCCTCCTGAACCTTCAAGTCTCACAGAAATCTGTTGATCTTCTCAAACTAAGGTCTCAGCTCCACCGACCATCTCCACAAAATCAAACACAGCATCATGACAGAGACACAAACTGAAGGTTCTCTCTCTCTAAAGAACCCTAAAGTGTGGTCCTCAGGACCACCTGAAGTTCAGGGACTGGGGAAGTCCTTCAGACCTGGTGTTGCTGGGAGGTCCCTCTGAGGTTCTGGACTTTTCTTCAGAGGGGACAAAAAACACACGGACTATCCCTTTAATGAAAAACACGACAATAACTGGACTTGGGTTCTTGTAGAGGGACGTTTGTTAAGATCTGGATCCTTCAGTGAGAAAACACACACACACACACACACACACACACACACACACACACCAGGTTTGGTTTATTTCTTCTTGTAGTCGGGGAGAAGGAACTTCTTCCACTTCATGTTCTGCAAAGAGAAGAAGAAGAACAAACGTTAGAAAGTTCTCCTCATCCTGGAGGACTTAAAGTTCTCCTCATCCTGGAGAACCTCAGCAGATCTCGGACCTACATTCTTCCCCCAGGTGGATTTGGACTTCTTGGTCTTCATGTCCTCCAGAGACTCGTAGGTGTTTCCCTGGACCGCAGCAGCTTCTCCTGGGATCAGCTCATAAGTGTTTTCAGGCAGACCCTGGTCTGCTGGACCCAGTCCTGGACCTTCAGAGTCCTGGTACAGTGGGTTGGTTCTGGTCAGTTCCTCATCATGGACCTGCTGCTCTGAGCGTGAGCTGCTCTGCCGGCCTCTGGGTTCATGGAGGGAGTAAGTGTGGCAGGTGACCTTCTTCAGAGGAGCAGGAGACCAGGAGGAAGATGGTGCTGTGACCTGGTTGGAGTACTCCTCCTCCTCCTCCTCCTCCTCCTCCTCCTCCTTCATGTTTAGTCCAGGTAAAGACCTGCTCCTGATCTCCACCTGAGTCAGCTCAGAGTATGTGGACCCAGGTGGAAACAAATCCCCCGGATAGCTGGACTCAGAGGTGTTGAGGAGGTCTACGTTGGTCCTTCCTCGGAGTCTCTCTTCTTCTGGATGAGGAGTCGTGTCGGGGAGAGATCCACTCTGGGAGAAACCCAGAAGGAGACCTCTGTGGGGCACCGGAGGACCACCCTGAGGAATAAAAGAACGTGTTAAAGAACTTTGGTGATAGTGTACTATAGTCGTAACAATCATGCCAATAAAGCTCATTGATATTGAAATTGATCACTTCAGAGTCCACGTGACCCTCAGAACATCTCCACACGGTGAGGTTAGTCCAGGAACCTGATGGTTTTAGATCAACAGAGGTCTTTTAATGAGTCCAGTTTTATCGGGTTTGACTCTGGTCTGTGGAGGGTCTCAGTTTCTCTGTAGATGGTCTCTCTCTTCACTCTGGGTTCCTGTGACCCTCATCTGTGCTCAGTCTCAGTTTCAGAGGGTCTTCTCTCAGCTTCTTCTCTCTGGTCTGTTCTGAAGTCTAAATTCATGGCGGTGTTGGACTGTAGACTCGCTGTCACAGTAACACTCAAACTGATCTTCGTCACTTTTGGCTCCTCCCACATAAACCTGGTCTAGACCTGTTGGACCTGTACGGAGTCTCTTCATGTCCGTCTTACCTGAGAGAGGGACGTCATGTCCACAGACACGGCTCCTGTCAGCTTCCTGCTTTTGGATTTAGGAGGTAGAGCAGGTGGAGCGGTCGGAGGGTCGCTCTCCTGTTGAGTCTGCTGACTGGGACCAGTCTGGCTGTGCCGGTCCGTTTTCTGGTCCCACAGGGTCCTCAGAGCCTGGACGCTGACCCCTGACCTCTCTTTGGAGGTGAAATTCACAACATCATAGAGCTCCGTCTGAAAACAGAAACACAACAGGGCGTGTTGTCCTTCAAAGTTCTGCTCATGATAGTTTTTGGTTTCCTGACCTGAAGGATTCTGGGAGTTTTTATAAAGTGTGTCTTTGTGTGTTTATGGATGTTTGTTTATGAGCTCTTTGTTTCAGTATCAATGATTAGTTATTGATTCATATTAGAGGTTGGAGCTTCAGTCTGTGTTCACCCTGCAGGTCATTCTGATGTTTTAACCATCTGTGACTCAGATCTGATGTTTTCATCTCAGTGTGAACAGGTCAGTTCTGATTGGTTCTGATCCGACCCTCTTCTGTATGTGGATATACACTCACCGGCCACTTTATTAGGTACACCATGCTAGTAACGGGTTGGACCCCCTTTTGCCTTCAGAACTGCCTCAATTCTTCGTGGCATAGATTCAACAAGGTGCTGGAAGCATTCCTCAGAGAGCTTGGTCCATATTGACATGATGGCATCACACAGTTGCCGCAGATTTGTCGGCTGCACATCCATGATGCGAATCTCCCGTTCCACCACATCCCAAAGATGCTCTATTGGATTGAGATCTGGTGACTGTGGAGGCCATTTGAGTACAGTGAACTCATTGTCATGTTCAAGAAACCAGTCTGAGATGATTCCAGCTTTATGACATGGCGCATTATCCTGCTGAAAGTAGCCATCAGAAGTTGGGTACATTGTGGTCATAAAGGGATGGACATGGTCAGCAACAATACTCAGGTAGGCTGTGGCGTTGCAACGATGCTCAATTGGTACCAAGGGGCCCAAAGAGTGCCAAGAAAATATTCCCCACACCATGACACCACCACCACCAGCCTGAACCGTTGATACAAGGCAGGATGGATCCATGCTTTCATGTTGTTGACGCCAAATTCTGACCCTACCATCCGAATGTCGCAGCAGAAATCGAGACTCATCAGACCAGGCAACGTTTTTCCAATCTTCTATTGTCCAATTTCGATGAGCTTGTGCAAATTGTAGCCTCAGTTTCCTGTTCTTAGCTGAAAGGAGTGGCACCCGGCGTGGTCTTCTGCTGCTGTAGCCCATCTGCCTCAAAGTTCGACGTACTGTGCGTTCAGAGATGCTCTTCTGCCTACCTTGGTTGTAACGGGTGGTTATTTGAGTCACTGTTGCCTTTCTATCAGCTCGAACCAGTCTGGCCATTCTCCTCTGACCTCTGGCATCAACAAGGCATTTCCGCCCACAGAACTGCCGCTCACTGGATATTTTTTCTTTTTCGGACCATTCTCTGTAAACCCTAGAGATGGTTGTGCGTGAAAATCCCAGTAGATCAGCAGTTTCTGAAATACTCAGACCAGCCCTTCTGGCACCAACAACCATGCCACGTTCAAAGTCACTCAAATCACCTTTCTTCCCCATACTGATGCTCGGTTTGAACTGCAGGAGATTGTCTTGACCATGTCTACATGCCTAAATGCACTAAGTTGCCGCCATGTGATTGGCTGATTAGAAATTAAGTGTTAACGAGCAGTTGGACAGGTGTACCTAATAAAGTGGCCGGTGAGTGTAAATCAGATCTGTATCTGATGTGACTGCAGCGTGACGCTCAGGTCGTGTTCATCCGACCTTTATGTCATCAATATGAGACAAACGTCACCATTGATCGACACAAACAGGAGCGGGGAGATGTTTGTGTTCATGAGGGTCACTTTACGGACGCGTTCGTTGTTGTAACATGAACGACCGCACAGAAAGATCGGATTAAACGAAAAATCTGAATCGTGCATCATCAGTGTGAACGTAGCTTTGGTTCCTTTCTGTCGACATCAGAAACTCTAAAGACTGAGAAGTTTAAATGGATAAGAATGAGGAGGGGGCGGGGCTTATAAAGGTTAAAGAACTTCGACCTTTCTCCTCCTCCTGCTCTAAAAACAGAGGTTCTTCTCTAAAATTGTTCTTTTGTTTATTTGATCGAATGAACTGTCTGGATTTCTGCTGCTCTTCACTCAGGTCCCATCTGGACCAGAAGGCGTCCTCCTCACCTCCTGACAGCTGGAGGTCAGATGTTCTCCAAAGGGCTGGATGGGGTTCTCTCTGTAGAACTGGATCAGCTCAGTCAGGCTGCTGTAGGTCCGACAGTCTCCTGAAACCCCGAACTGACCCTCCGGATCCTGAGTGATGACGAAGTGACGGCACCGGTCCTGACCTCTGAAGAGGAGGAGGAGGAGGAAGATCATCCTCAGGTCACATGGTCACAGTCAGAGCAGTAAGAAGAGTCCTGATTGGCTCACCTGTATGACAGGATGTATCCGATGGTTTTATCACTGAGGCGGACCAGGAAGCAGCCCAGATCTTTGTCTCGGAGCAGATCCTCCGCGTCCCTGAAACAGAACCACACAGAACCACAAAGAGACCGTTTAGACCTCAGAACCACACCGCCGCCCTGACGTGACGCCTCGTCTCTTCATTCACTCGTTCACCTGACAGTAACCGCCACCGTCAACTCAGAGGTCTGCTTTTCTTAAAACGCCGTAACGTTAACGGGTTTTTAGAGCGACACCCCTGATCCCGATCCAGTCCAGGTCTCATCACAAACTCCTGACTTGTTCTGACCCGGGGATGATGACAACGACGAAGGCCCATCCTTCACGGTCCAAACTATCCTGAGGTACCGAAGAACCTTACAGAACCGGAGGTTCTCAAACTAACCAGTCAAAAAACAGCTGTTTGGTTCTGATCCGGTGGGTTTGGAGATGTTTTCAGGATTTTTAGGACAAATCTTTTTTATTCGTAAAACTCCGAAAACATTGACGAATTTTAAAACGACAGCAGCACCGACTGACTCCAGGGTCAAGGTTCAGAAGACTGAGACAGAACCACCTTTAGCGGGTCGGCTGTCCCTGTTCATTTGGCCCGATTAGTCTACTCAAGACACCAAGACCGGGTCCTTCTGAGGCCGGGTCCTTCTGAGGCCGGGTCCTTCAAAGACCGGGTCCTTCTGAGGCCGGGTCCTTCAAAGACCGGGTCCTTCAAAGACCGGGTCCTTCTGAGGCCGGGTCCTTCAAAGACCAGGTCCTTCTGAGGCCGGGTCCTTCTGAGACCGGGTCCTTCTGAGGCCGGGTCCTTCAAAGACCGGGTCCTTCAAAGACCGGGTCCTTCTGAGGCCCGGTCTGGGTCCATTAAAGTCTGGTCCTTTGAAGGCCCGGTCCTGATCCAGCCCTCTTGTGTTTTGAATGTTTCCTTGATTTTATTTCAGACTTTTTTTTGGACCCACAGACTCTTGGAGACCACAGCAGAACTTGGACCCGGTTCTGGTGTCTCTGTGGCGTTAAAGATGTAACAGCTGTCTGAGTTTTAAAAACATGATTTTCCTCTAAGATAGAAAAGAGTCACTCTGTAGGCCCAATCGGAGCCTGTCAGTGACCAGAACCAGAACTTTAGCAGCCAAACTTCATTCAGGTTTTACATTACAGACAGTTTCACAGCCACAGGCTCAACTGGACCGGTCCAGATTTTTGGACCAGGTTTAAATCACAGGAACCCCCTTAAAGTGGAGATACCGGTTCTGCTCTCTCAGACAGAACCAAATCCACCAAAGATTAAACCCAGGAGACCAAAGCTGGTCCAGATCCTCCTACCTTCGCTCTTTCAGACCCTGAAGAAGAACTCTGTCTTACTTTCTCGTAGCGAATCCTCGAAACCAGTCCGGGAAGTTCCCGTTGTTGAGAAAAAGTGGTGCCTGAGTCTCTGTGAACCACCTGAGGACCAGCTCCTTCAGGCCCCCCTCTGAAGTCTCCATGTGCAGGTCCACACCTGAGGTCCTCTCCATCCTCTCAGCTGTGTGTCTCTTAGCTCAGGTGAACAGGTGAGGTACCTGTGTAAAGGAAGGAGAGGAGCCTCATTTGACTGTTTGATGGTGGCGTCTCTCTGCTCTGAGAGCCGTCATTGTTCCTGCGTGTCCGCCTCCCTGCAGATCCACGGCTTCATTTGACTATCAGAGTTCCTGATTCAGCTTTAAAGGGATATTCTGCTGTAAAATTAGTTAAGGGTCAAACCCACCATAACACCGAGTCAGACCCCGCCCCCTCCAGAGATGAATGTTGTCGACCACTTCCTTCTCTAGTTATACCAACTTTAGTAACGACCCCAGGATAGAAATACAGAGAGGTCTGAGGAACCATAAACAAACCTCAACCAAAACCAAATCATTACTTTATCATTTCCATGAAGTAATAATCTCCATATTAATCATTTTACAGACGCTGTAGTTCTTCTGTCTTAGCGTCTCGGTCTGATTGTATTTCCATGAAGAAATGATCATAAATGTTCTTCCTTGAGCTGCGTCACCCCGCTGTAGTCTGTAATGGACTGGCCTGAGGTCTCTCTACAAACAAGCGTCTGCTGGAAGAGAGTAGGTGAGTTGTGTTTAGTCTCTTTGCTAAAGAAATGAGTCAAAGTTAAAAAGATGTTTGGTGTCTAGTACTATGTCTGTGACCCTGTATGTCCTGTTGATGAAGTTAGGTGCTGTTCTGAGCATTATTTGTGGCTGTAGAGTGGCGTTTTGGTTGAGGTTTGTCCCTTTAATGAACCACCAGGCCGTGAACACTGCTGTGTGTCTGCAGAGGTGTGTCTTTGTCAAATGGGGACATGATTCCAGTTTCATGTGTTTGTCTTTTATTTTTCACTCACTTCTTCATCAACAACAAACTTGTTTTCAGGCTTTACAGCGTGACAGAGCGCGTGAGACAACAGGTGTAACGGTTTCACGCACGAGCTGAACAGATGGTTGCGTAAATGGGCGGGGCTAGCGCCCAGCAGCCGCCCGGGTGTTTCCGTCCCCAAACCTCATTCATATAATCAGGAATTCAGTGTTTACCTGTGAAAGTGCGCAGGTACGCTCGAGATTTAAAACTGTAAGTATGTTTGTTTAGCATCAACATGATTTATTCTTCGAATCGGCCGAGAAAAAATACGATTTAAATCTGTTGTCTGTTTTATTTGGACAACATTCACTTCTGTATTTTACCGTCAAAGCAGCGAATAAAAAAGGAAAGAAGTGGGTAAAAATGAAGCTCCTCATTCGGACATTTTAATTGTAGATCCGGTTTTAAAAAGTGTGAGACTGCGAGCGTCGCTGGTTTAATTCGCCTTTTTTTGAACGGGGTTTGGTGGGGTGTCCCTCTGAGTACAGGGACAGTCTCTGAGACTGAAGACACGCAGAGGACTGAAGGACATTGAGCTGCGGGACATGGTGTCAACTATCAACATGTGAAGTTTCAGTGAAGTAAGAACTGTTATTTTTCAGTTACTGGTGTTCTTATGCAGTTTTAGAGTCGTGTTTATGTGACATTTACAACAGTTTCATTCAGTCGAGCCAACCGGAGCGACCGTGTCAACTGTCCGGGAAACTGCAGTCTGTGTCTGTGATGAACTCCCAACAGCTCTGTTTGATTCTGTGCATGTAGTGCAGGAAACCTTTAGAAATGTTCTGAGTGTCTTTGTTTCTGCAGAGAGATGAAAATAAAGCAGAAGTTTCCTCTGAACTAAGATGTGGAGGAGTGCAGACATGGATCCTTTCAAACAGCAGAGAGTGGAGGATTTCTATGAGATTGGTGAAGAGCTGGGCAGGTACACACACACACACACACACGTACACACACACACACACACACACACACACACACACACACACACACACACACACATCTTTAAGCAGCTGAAGGTTCATTTATTCAAACTGAAGTCGTGTGATCAGTGACAGTTAAAGAAATCAATAGTTGCATGAATCGGGGCTTAAACAGATGGATATGTGTGATTTCTCCTCTGTGGTTGTTTTGTTGTGGTTCAGGACAGCAGGAGTTTGAGGTGAAGACCAACGTTGGTCAGTGAGGAGTTTCAGGGACTGAAACTGCTCAAGCATGTCGAAGCTGTAATATTCAAATCCCTCCAAATCATTAACCCGCCGAGTCTGTGTTCACTCGAACAGAAGACAAACTTCCTCTGTGGACCGGGCCTTTCCAGAACCATCAGATTACTGAACAGAAATATTCCCAAAACACCAAAAGGAGGAGAATTGAAATGAATCATGGGCGTGTTTTGGGGCCGTGTTGGGGTGCTGCATGTTGTCAGGTGGAGACAACTGTTAAAACGACGCTGTGTCTATCTTTAGCTGCAGCTAAATCTGCTCTGCGAGCGTCTGCAGACCAGGAAGTGAGTGTCAGCTGACTGAGGAACAGGAGCAGCTGCAGAGTCAGATCAACTCTGAAATAGTTCATCATCACATCAAACCCGACAATGAGGGCCGCTGTTCGCTGGTGTGAGGAGGACGAGTATCTGAGGCCCCTGAAGTAGAGCCTCTCAGAGTCCTGCAGAAGTGAGGAGAAGAGGACCAGCCAATCACGGAGCTGCTTTAAGGTCGAGGGTTCGAAACCCAAAGTCTGTATGGAAGCTGATCAGGAGGAGAAATCAGAAACACTTTAATAATCCTAAAGAGGAGAAAAATAAGAGAGGAAATAAGTGAAAATAAAGAGATAAGATACACGTCTGTTCACTGAAATAAACATGTAAACACCTGATAAAAAAAACACAAACATCAAAAACCAAAGATGTTTGTGTGGTCGGATATTTCACTTTCATGGTCATGACGGTGGATGTCATCAGCTCCGCCCCTTTCAGGAGAACGAGATGACTCGTGATTTAGCCGACTCAGAGACCCTGACCCAGTTTAGGTCTCCACTCAGACCTTCTCCTCTGACAGCAGACAGACGTTGGTGTTTTGTAGACCCACACATGGTTCAGTGAGGTTCTGTTCCTGGTTCTGATCGGAATCGTGTGAAATCAAAGGTCCTCCTGCTGTGAGAGTGAGCCGTCTTTCAGAAGAACGTTATGATACATGAACTTCTGATCAAACACCTTCTGAACCCTGGAGACCATCTGAAAATGAAACCCAAAGTAGAACCTCTGTTCTCCAGTTGTTCTGGACCTGGTCCTCCAAAGCCTGGTTGTAGATGGTTCTGGTTGTAGATGGTTCTGGTCTCAGAGTCGTCCCTGAAGTTCTGCAGAAGTTCTCTCTCTCTCCCAGAGTCTCCTAACCTTCTCTGATCCTTTTTTTCCAGCGGGCAGTTCGCCATCGTCAAACAATGCCGGGAGAAAAGCACGGGTCGGGAATTCGCCGCCAAGTTTATCAAGAAGCGTCAAAGCATGGCGAGCTCCAGAGGGGTTAGGCGGGAGGAGATCGAGCGGGAGGTGGACATCCTGCAGCAGATCCAGCACGCCAACATCGTCACGCTGCACGACGTCTACGAGAACCGCACCGACGTGGTGCTGATCCTGGAGCTGTGAGTCTCAGAGAGATCAAACATGTTAGCGTGAAATCGGACCGAGATCAATCCTGTCAGGAGGAACCAGAACAAAGACGAGGAGAGGTCCGAGGGTCAGCTGACCTCTGAGAGTAACGGCGCTCTGATGTTTGTCCCCGTTTCAGGGTCTCTGGGGGCGAGCTCTTTGACTTCCTGGCACAGAAAGAGTCTCTGAGCGAAGAAGAAGCGACGCAGTTCATCAAACAGATCCTGGAGGGAGTCAACTACCTTCACGCCAGGAAGATCGCCCACTTCGACCTCAAGGTGAGACCAGACCCCGCCCACACACACACACACACACACACACACACACACACACACGTGACGAACCATGACTATCTTACCCAGAATGCACTTGACAATATCGACCGTTTACTTGTAAATTTGCCCGTGTTAACGTGAACTGTGAGAGTGAAAATGAAGCCCGTCAATCAATCAATCAATCAATCAATCGATCGATTCACTGTTCAATATCGTCGACCACCTTCAGTTTAGTTTAGTGAGGACTGAAGATCAGAGAAACTCTCAGATCCACCTGAGCTGGGGGAGGGGCTCCGCCCCTTTGGAAGCTCCGCCCCTGACCAGGCATGAGGTCTGCTTGGTTCAGAGCTGATGTCCTGACCCGGTTCTGTTCAGACTGACTTACCTCCACCACACTCCCCCACTTACAGGGGGGACACCAGTCCTGATGGGTGAGACAGAACCAGGACAGGAGGTCTGAGTGGGCCCACCTCAGCAGGTCTGGACTCTGTTGAGAGTTCAGGGGAACCAGAATCCTGAGAACCTCAGCAGGTCTTTGTCCAGCAGGGGGGGCTAAAAGCTCATCACAGAGAACCTCCGGTCCAGTCCAGCTGGAGGATTTAGAACTTCATTTATTTGGTTCTGGGTTAGTCTGGTTCTGGTTCTGGTTTTGGGTTAGTCTGGTTCTGGGTTAGTCTGGTTCTGGTTCTGGGTTAGTCTGGTTTTGGGTTAGTCTGGTTCTGGTTCTGGGTTAGTCTGGTCTGGTTCTGGGTTAGTCTGGTTTTGGGTTAGTCTGGTTCTGGTTCTGGGTTAGTACACTCTAAATGAAAAAGGAGGTTTTGTGCTGCAGTGGTCCGAACAGGAGTGAGAAAGTCCAGAACTAAAGAATCTGAGTCCGATGATGAGAGGAGATCAGAACCAACACATGGACCCGGTCCATTCTTCAGAATCAGAGAATAACATAATAAAGTCATAATGTCATGGTGACGTGTTGACGTGTTGACCTGTTTACCTGTGGACGTGTTCACACGTTGACGTGTTCACACGTTGACGTGTTGACGTGTTGGCGTGTTGGCGTGTTGACGTGTGGACGTGTGGTCGTGTGGTCGTCTCACCTGCAGCCTGAAAACATCATGCTGTTGGACAAGAACGTCCCGCTGCCCAGAATCAAACTCATCGATTTCGGCCTCGCCCACAAGATCGAGGCTGGCGTGGAGTTCAAGAACATCTTTGGGACGCCGGAGTTTGTCGGTAACGTGACTCCGCCTTCGATAATTGTGAAGTTTTAGAGGAAGTAGAAAGCCCTGACCTCTGACCCCTGTGGTCTGTTTGTGTTTCAGCTCCAGAGATCGTGAACTACGAGCCTCTGGGCCTGGAGGCCGACATGTGGAGTATCGGGGTCATCACGTACATCCTGTCAGTGAACGGCGTCCCTCTCAGATGGTCGGTCTTGGTCCACAGGTGACCTTCAAACCTGACTCTTCTGTGTCTCTGCAGGCTGAGCGGAGCTTCACCTTTCCTGGGGGAGACCAAGCAGGACACTCTGGGAAACATCTCCGCCATCAACTACGAGTTTGATGAAGAGTTCTTCTGTCACACCAGCGAGCTGGCGAAGAAGTTCATCAGCCAGCTGCTGGAGAAGGACAAGAAGTAGGAGGACAGGAGGCTGATGTTTGTGCTGAGAAGGTTCTCCTCGTTTTCAGTTAGTGACGGTCTTTATTTCTCACACAGGAGACGACTGACCATCCAGGACGCTTTGAACCACCCCTGGATCAAGGTAGAGATGTCCTCCTGTCCCACCATCACCACACTGAGGGACAGGTCCTTCATGATGATGTCTGCAGACCATCAAACCTTCAGGACTTCCATCATATTTACTTTGACCGTGTGGAGAAGAGCGGTGAAAGCATCAGACCGGCTTCAGAGGGACAGATGGGTCAGGGTTCGAGGTTCAAAGACCGTCTTCTTCTTCTTCTTCTTTTAAAATTTAGAGTTTTTTATTTTTCAACAAACGAACATCAAACAGAAACGGACATGATGGAGATCAAAGAAAGTAAAAATGATCAAACAGATCATTAAAAATAAGACAGGTAAGAGAGGTAACACATCTGTCACTCTTAACCAAGACCATCGTCTCCTTCTTCTTCTGCAGCTCTGTGAGGTCCATCACCACAAACCTTCAAGGATCTTCTGCCCCCTGGAGGTTTTTAGTGTGAACTTCAGTCAGACAGTCTAAACTTTAGCTGCTTCCTGTCTTCTTCTTCTTCTCTGTGTTTCCTCGCTGTTGTCCCAGGATGACTAAAATAAATCAAGTTAAAAAGATGAATTTAAATATTTAAAGTGATAATTATTAAATCTAGGATCATTAACTCTAAAAAAGAAGAAGATGAAGATGAAGATGAGGAGGTTTCTCTGATTTAACCCTTTCAGTTCCTCGGTGGACGAAGTCTAACAGGTTTTAAACTGAGACCCTGATCCGGTCTGGTCACTGAACCCTCAAAGACCAGGTCCAGGTCTGATCCGGTCTGATGCTGCCTCTCTCGCTCGGCCTGTGTGTGTGTGACTCCTCTCTCTCTCTCTCTCTCTCTCTCTCTCTCTCTCTCTCTCTCTCTCTCTCTCTCTCTCTCTCTCTCTCTCTCTCTCCCTCTCTCTCTCTCTCTCTCTCTCTCTCTCTCTCTCTCTCTCTCTCTCTCTCTCTCTCTCTCTCTCTCTCTCTAACTCCTCCCCCTTCTTACCTTCTAGTCCAATGAGCACAAAGAGGAGAATAAAACCCTGGAGCCGAAGAAACGGGAGCGCCGTCAGCTGAAGACCAAGCGTCTGAGGGAGTACACCATCAAGTCTCACTCCAGCATGCCGCCAAACAACACGTACGTGAACTTTGAGCGCTTCGCCCAGGTGGTGGAGGACATCGACCAGATGGAGAGCTCCTTCGTCAGCCTGGCCGCCGCCCACGACTCACTGCAGGAGGACATCGACGCCATGGTGTCCATCTACAACGAGAAGGAGGCGTGGTACAAGGAGGAGAGCGAGGGGGTGCGTCACGAGCTCTCTCAGATCCGCTACGAGTTCAGGAAGGTGGAGGCCTTCAAGAGGAACCTGCAGGACGACATGCAGGCCTTCAGCTCCTCCCTCGGCGCCATCAGCAGCCGGTACCAGGAGAGACAGAACCACTTTGACGCTCTGCGCCTGGAGCTCAGCAATGAGCTGAAGTGGGTGCAGGAGGTGATGGGGTCTTTCCCCCTGGACGGAGGAGGAGAAGGTGGAGGAGGAGGAGGAGGAGGAGGTGGAGGAGGAGGAGGAGGGTACACCAACTGTAACTTCTCCACCGTCTTCAACAACGACGTGAACGAAGCTCTTAAGGAGCTGCTGAACCGCTCCTGTGGAGGAGAACTGCTGTCGGGGATCAACCTGGACTTTGACGGTGGACAGCAGAGGTAGATGGTCCAGCAGAAGAACCAGGACTGGTTCATAGAGGACTGAGGAAGTCCATGAGAGGTCTCTGAGGCTGCAGAAACATGTTCCTCAGATGTTCTCAGATGTTCTCAGATGTTCTCCGATGTTCCTCAGATGTTCTCAGATGTTCCTCAGATGTTCTCAGAGTTCTCAGATGTTCTCAGATGTTCTCAGATGTTCTCAGATGTTCTCAGATGTTCTCAGATGTTCTCAGATGTTCCTCAGATGTTCTCAGATGTTCTCAGTTGTTCTCAGATGTTCTCAGATGTTCTCAGAGTTCTCAGATGTTCTCAGAGTTCTCAGATGTTCCTCAGATGTTCCTCAGATGTTCTCAGAGTTCTCAGATGTTCCTCAGATGTTCTCAGATGTTCTCAGTTGTTTTCAGAGTTCTCAGATGTTCTCAGATGTTCCTCAGATGTTCCTCAGATGTTCTCAGAGTTCTCAGATGTTCCTCAGATGTTCTCAGATGTTCTCAGATGTTCTCAGATGTTCTCAGTTGTTTTCAGAGTTCTCAGTTGTTCTCAGATGTTCTCAGTTGTTCTCAGATGTTCTCAGATGTTCTCAGATGTTCTCAGATGTTCTCAGAGTTCTCAGTTGTTCTCAGATGTTCTCAGTTGTTCTCAGATGTTCTCAGATGTTCTCAGAGTTCTCAGATGTTCTCAGATGTTCTCAGAGTTCTCAGATGTTCTCAGATGTTCTCAGATGTTCCTCAGAGTCTCGTTCAGCAGGAACTCTGTCGCTCTGATATAAAGACTGATGTGTTAAGTTTGTATCTTTGAGTCGATGAGATGATGGAGAGAAGAAAGGACCTCCAGTCTCCTGCTGCTCAATGCTGACAGACTGACTCAGCCTGTAAACTCACTCTCTCAAGTTTCATCCTCGTCCTTCCAGTCCAGGAGTCGTCTTTTTACAGTCTTTGTCGGGAACAGGAAGTTGTGTTTCCTCTGTGCTGCTGAGCGGCGGCGGCGGCGTCTGTCTGTTAACCATCATGAACCATCGTAGAGGCGTGTCTCTCTGCTCAGATGACCTTCAATCTGTTTTATTCCTGACAGGAACAAAATTTAGAAATAAACGTTTGATTTTCTGTCCTGGTCTGTTTTTTTCAGTCCTGTATTTTCTCATTTCTGCACAAACTGAAGGTCTGAATCATATCCTGTCTCTCCTCTGGACTCCTCGGTTCCTCCAGTTTAAAGATCTGAAGCTGAAAAGTTTTTTCTCCACTTCCTGAAACCAACTTCGTTCAGTAACGTTGTTCTTATTCAGCGGGAGAGTCTCTGTGATGACGCTCGGCTCAAACAGCGTATCCCCTGGTGATCTACTCAATCTCTGTCCTCCCATTGGCTGTATCAGGTGTCAATCATAGAAAACATGAACCCCCTAATAACTTTTAAAAATGGAGCTGTACAGAAAAAAGAGGACTTGAGCACAAACCAGTCTGACAGTAACTACATGTCAACATCACAACCAGGGGGGAGAAACATTTATATTCTGTGTCATTCATTTATAAAGTTTGTCCACAGCTCCATAAGGAGGCGGGGTTTAGGACCTATACTGCAGCCCGTCACCAGAGGGCGCTGTTCTCAGAGAGGAGGCAGACGGCGTCTGTTCTAGAGACAGTCTGTGGTCTGAACTTCACGGAGTTTTGATCCCAGTGACTCCAGTTTGGTTTTAAAGGCTTTTCACAGTCAAACAGCTGATCAGAGTTTCAGAGACGGAGTGAGAGGAGAAACTGAAACAACAGAGACGATCAGGAGGAAGAGGGTAATCTCATCTTCATCATCATCATCATCATCATCAACATCACCTTCATCACTATCATCATCATCATCAACATCATCATCATCAACATCATCATCATCATCATCATCATCATCATCATCATCATCATCATCATCAACATCTTCATCATCATCATCATCATCATCAACATCACCTTCATCACTATCATCTTCATCATCATCATCAACATCAACATCACCTTCATCAACATCATCATCATCATCATCATCTTCACCATCATCACTATCATCTTCATCATCATCATCAACATCAACATCACCTTCATCAACATCAGGACGATGTGAGTGTGTGTGTGTCAGTGCGTGTTGGACCTACTTCTTTGTGTACAGTGTGAATTGTCACCTGCCAACATGAACACACTCACACTCCCTCTCTCTCTCTCTCTCTCTCTCTCTCTCTCTCTCTCTCTCTCTCTCTCTCTCTCTCTCTCTCTCTCTCTCTCTCTCTCTCTCTCTCTCTCTCTCTCGCTCTCTCTCTCTCTCTCTCTCTCTCTCTCTCTCTCTCTCTCTCTCTCTCTCTCTCTCTCTCTCTCTCTCTCTCTCTCTCTCTCTCTCTCTCTCTCTCTCTCTCCCTCTCTCTCGCTCTCTCTCTCTCTCTCTCTCTCTCTCTCTCTCTCTCTCTCTCTCTCTCTCTCTCTCTCTCTCTCTCTCTCTCTCTCTCTCTCCCTCTCTCTCTCTCTCTCTCTCTCTCTGTGTGTTGGGGGGTTGGGTCTGTTGGCTCTCAGTAACGGAGCAGCGGGCGGAGACATGGAGACAGCCTGCTGCTGCATGAGTGTGTTCCTCTTCTTCACTGTTAGTCTGTTCAGACTCTGTAATAATGAATAATGTCAGAGAGGATCTGTGAGGAGGAGAACACAGACTGAGGAGGACACAGGAAGAGGATAAACTCTGTTTCCGGTGAGATTTATGCCGCTAAAACTGAAGCTAACAGGCTAACCTGCTATGAGACAGCAGATAACACAATCTATTTCTGGACTAAATCCTACAACTGTTCAGAACCGGACCTTTTGGACTCACATGCATACTGTTATAGGTGCACTACTCGTTTACGACCTCCCTGTCATACCTGCAGATCAGCTGATCTCACCTGTCTTCAGGTTTTAATGCTTTGCTAGCTGAGTGACGTGAGGAAAGTTAGCTAGCGTTAGCTAACATAAACAGAAGCGGTGTTATGGTGAGTTTGGCTGCCTTGTCAAAAACGGTCCCTGACGGGTTTCCATTTCCAGTCACAGACCGTAGATGAACTTTAGTCTGTGTAACGGTCAGTGTTTGAGCACAGACACAGGAGTAAAACCAGCATATTTATGAGCTTAAATCACGACTGTGTTTGTTTTTATTATTCAAGATTTTAGGACGGGGACCCACAGTCAAGTAATATTTAACACAGTAATAAAACCAAGCATTTCAGGTGTTTTTTTAGTGTAAAAATACTGATTAAAGATACGTTTATAGAAAGGTTAGACAGTCTACACGCCCGTTTCAGCTGATCGATACATTCAGCAGCAGATCGATCATATATCAAATATCTATATGTTCTAATATCTATGTTATCAAATATCTATATGTTATAATATCTATACGTTCACAGGTCAGAATACGCTGTAAAAACCTATTTCTTAACCTGTAATCTAGGCTGCAGTTATCTATGGGCGTGGGTGATGAACGTTGAGGATTGCGGCTACGCGCAGGCGCAGAAGGACGTAGACCCGCTTAGCGGCTCATCGTGACCGGTAGCACTTTCCGGTGGAACACCGACAGTTGACAGCCGTTTTTTAAATCTGTTTGAAAACAAAATACCAAAAATATCAATGAAGTTGAATATCTGTGATTGTAATGATGATCAATAAGACTCTTATCACAGGATCGGTGTAATGTCATATCTTTAATATGAGCTCTTCTGCTCTAATCTCAGTGATTTGTTCAACTGTTAGCTCAGATCGCAGGTTAACTGCCTCTTTAATCGGACTGAACTGTTCTGGTTCTGGTTCTGGTTCTGGTTCTTCTCCGAGCCGAGCCGATGTTCTCCTGCTGTGGAGAGTCTTAAATGCAGAGTACCTCAGTACCTCGGACCCGTGTTTATAAAGGGCCGTTAGTGCAGAAGAAGAAGAAGAGTTCCCCATTAGGTCAGCTAACTGGTGCTGCCTTCACGGTCCGCTCTCAGGCTCGGAGATAACCACTTTGGGTGTCGTTTTCCGACGTTGAGCTTTGTAATCCTAATTTTCAGACAGCTGTGGTGGAAAAAGAAAGGTGTGTTGTTGTTTTTCTTTCAGAGCTGAGTAAGAAAACATTACCTGGACTCAAAGAAATAATGAAGAAGCCTTTTTCAACGACAAATAGTCGAACCATTGCAGTTATTGATCACCAGGCTAACGTGTACTTTCTATACCTGTAAAATCAGGTTGGTATTGTTAACTGGTCAAACTGGTGGAACAGAAACAGAGGGTCTTCCCAGTTCGTTTTCCCTCCAGGTTTCAAGTTTTCAAGTTTACATATTTCCCGTTTCTGAAGCTCTATTCTCCGATTTTCAGACAGCACGTGAATGCAACGATATGATGAGGCTCTAAATCTGAATGAACGTTTTTAATTTGTGTTTCTGAGGTTTAACTTCCACTTCATCAGACAGTGTAAATCTGTGTTGAAGTGTTTTGAGTTGAACTGAATGGAAATAAAACCGATTATAAGTGTGAACACATCAGAGTGACTAACAGAACCAGGAAAGAGGGTTCTGAAGAACCGGGTCAGAACTGACATTAAAGAGACTACAGACTCAGACTGGAGCAAATATTCAGAGGTGAGTCTTCAGTTAACTGGACCTGTAATCTTACATGGATCGATGGTTATTATGACCTTTATCTAAATACATCAGACACTTGGTCTGCAGTATGTCCACGTTTTTATTTTCTCATCTGTTGTGTGGTTCTGAAGCACAGCTAGAGACCGGGACCAGGTGTGTGGACCTGATCCTGGGTCTCTGCAGGACTGTTAGACCTCCTCCTGAGACGTTGGTGAATTGTCGTAGCAGTCTCATGAAGAGTTGTGCACCTGAACAGGTAGTTATTTCACTGTCTCTGCCCTTACCTGCTGTGTCATCGTTAAAAGAATTTACGAGGCGTTTAGCGAGATGGTATTTCACTGTATGTGACCTGACATGACACAACCAGACTGACAGCGCTGCTCTGTACACGCCTCCAGTCCTGTACATGATGTCTGTGGGCAGGGCTGACTCACCGCCCTGTCAATCTACCTGAGAGGAACTGCGGCGGCGGCGGTTATTTCAGTTCATGTTTACACCTCAAATAGTTCATCTCAGGTGCTTCACCTGAAGGGGTTAGTGAGGAGAGAGGAGCTGAGATTCCTCTGTCACTCAAAACAGTGAGCTGTAAATCACTGCAGGGAGAGGAAGAGACCAATACTGGGACCATTCATCACATTAGTTACTCCAGGTTTACTGACAAGAAGTTTTACACATTCAATCATAATAATAATAATAATAATAATAACTTTATTTTTACAGCACTTTTAAAAACAGAAGTTTATTAAGTGTTTTGACATAAAGAACATGAAAAAACTCATTTAAAACAGAAATAAAGGTCATTTTCTTGTCATAAAGAACCGAGACAACACAAGAACCATTCAACATAAAATGAGACAGAAATAAAAACATCAGATAGTTTCAAAAAGAAGAAAATGTAATTTAAGGAAAAGTCTGAGTCAGTTTGATTTCCTGAAAAATAAAATGTAAAGAGGAGGAACAAGAATCAGCTGACCTGTCAAAGATCTGAGAAACCCTGAGGAGCACAGCTCTGCAGTTACTGTGGGACATTTCAAACACAGAAGTACCGCCACGCTGATGGAAAAAAGGTCAAAGTTCACTCAAACACACCTGTGACTGTCAGAGCGACCCTGACTCATTTAACAAAGGTTCATATTCTAGTTTATTCTTTAGAGGAGTAACAGTCATGTGACTCCTACACTCCGATAACATTTCGTTTTTAGTAAAGGTAGACTGATGATCGGCTTCAGCGCCACCATGTCTCCTGATGCCCCGCCCACAACCCTCTCTGATTGGCTGGCTGTGCTGTAAACGAGACATGGTAAATTAATGAGAGTGAGTTTTTGTGTCTTTAATCAGCGTCTGTACGGACTCCTCCATTTCCCTCTCTCTGCTTCGTTTTCATCACTCGCTCTCTTAGCTTCACCTCTATGTCACTCGCCCATCGCTGCGCTCTCTCCCTCTCTCTCTCTCTCTCTCTCACCTGAACCTGGTCCCACCTGCTGAACATGTGTGGATCATGCTCTGTGTTCATGACCTCATTAGTGACCCAAAGTGAAGAAGAAGCGGGTCAGCGGCTCTGATTGGGTCGGCGCCGCTCTCTTCCTGCTGATAAGGATGTTTGTGGTTTTCATCTCTGATCGATTCTGGAGAGCAAAGTTTGGACTCTGTGTGAGCTCTAATTCACAGGTGGACACGTGTGTGTGTGTGTGTGTTGGGGGGAGTTTGTCCTCAGATATCAGGGTTTGACTCAAACTTTGTTCACATGTTCTCCTGAGTTAAAAAAGTAAGGAGCACAAAGAACTTTAGGGGATCAATGAAAACTGATCAATAATGTTTGTCTTATTGATCGACCTTAGTACTATTATTAGAAATCAGTTTTAGGTCTTTTGGTCACATGACAGTGAAGCTATTGAAGGAAAACAGCCTTTTCTAAGAACATCAACCGGTAATTTATTGACGGTCCCTTATTCAACACCGACGTTGACAGTGAGGGTGTCGAGTAGATTTAACCGCGCTGCTGTTGTTATTCCCGGTTATGGAGAGAGAGAAGACACCGGTAGATCCTCAGAGAATGTCCGTCAGATATCCAACCTGAAACTAACTTCACCGCCGTATTTACAGGAAAATATATCCAACCTGAAACTAACTTCACCGCCGTATTTACAGGAAAATATATCCAACCTGAAACTAACTTCACCGCCGTATTTACAGGAAAATATATCCAACCTAAAACTAACTTCACTGCCGTATTTACAGGAAAATATATCCAACCTGAAACTAACTTCACCGCTGTATTTACAGGAAAATATATCCAACCTGAAACTAACTTCACCGCCGTATTTACAGGAAAATATATCCAACCTAAAACTAACTTCACCGCCGTATTTGCAGGAAAATATATCCAACCTGAAACTAACTTCACCGCCGTATTTACAGGAAAATATATCCAACCTAAAACTAACTTCACCGCCGTATTTACAGGAAAATATATCCAACCTGAAACCAACTTCACCGCCGTATTTACAGGAAAATATATCCAACCTAAAACTAACTTCACCGCCGTATTTACAGGAAAATATATCCAACCTAAAACTAACTTCACCGCCGTATTTACAGGAAAAAAAAACATTTGTTAATTTTTTTTATTCACATGTGACCTTAAATACATTTGAAACTTCACACACGTCTATTTTTAGTCGTAAATGTGAGTGAAACGGTCGAACTGTCGAGGCCTGGATGTAGAGCTGAACGTTGAGGACAGACTCATGCAGCCTTCAGAGACACGTCAGCCAATCAGACGCTCAGCTGGTTGTTGATGTTGTTGTTGTCGTCGTTGCTCAGGTTGACCTGAATGTTTGTGACGTTGTTTGTTTCGTGTCTCCAGGACTGATGGCTCCAGAGTGACGTGCCATGGCGTTGATGATCCCCCCGGTGAAGCTCAAATGGTTGGAGCACCTGAACAGCTCGTGGATCACGGAGGACAGCGAGTCCATCGCCACACGGGAGGGGGTGTCTGTGCTCTACTCGAAGCTGCTGGCCAACAAAGAGGCGGTGCTGCTCCCCCAGCAGGTCCTGTGTCTGAAGGGCCCCCAGCTCCCAGACTTTGAGCGCGAGTCCCTCTCCAGCGATGAACAGGAGCACTACCTGGACGCTCTGCTCAGCAGCCAGCTGGCCCTGGCCAAGATGGTCTGCTCCGACTCCCCCTTCGCCGCCGCGCTGCGCAAACGCGTGCTGGTGCTCCAGAGGATCTTCTACGCACTTTCCAACAAGTATCACGACAAAGGGAAGGTCAAGCAGCAGCAGCACTCTCCAGAGAACAACTCGGGCTCTGCTGACCTGCACTCTGTCAGCGAGCGGCCGCGCTCCAGCACCGACGCCCTCATCGAGATGGGGGTCCGAACGGGCCTCAGCCTCCTGTTCGCTCTGCTGCGCCAAAGCTGGATGATGCCCCCTCCTCCCGGTCCCGGCGGAGGTCCTGGAGGCAACATAAACTTGTGTAATGATGTCATTCACACGGCCATCGACGTGGTCAGCTCTCTGCCGCCGCTGTCTTTGGCCAATGAGAGCAAGATCCCCCCCATGGGCCTGGACTGCCTGGCTCAGGTCACCACCTTCCTGAAAGGGGTGACCATGCCGAACTCGGGGGCGGATATTCTAGGGCGGCGGCTGGCGTCGGAGCTGCTGCTGGGGCTGGCCTCTCAGAGGGGGTCCCTGCGCTACCTGCTGGAGTGGATCGAGATGGCCTTAGCAGCTTCAGCTGTGGTCAGCACAATGGAGGAGAACAAGGTTCTGCAGAACCAGGAGGGGCTCATCGGCTATGACTGCTTCATGAACATCCTGATGCAGATGAGACGCTCCCTGGTGAGTGGGCGGTCCCTTCATTTCATCAAAGAGTCAGTCAGTTCAGACGCTCCCTTCATCGTGACGTTTAAAAACAGTGAGAGCTGAACGTGAGGAGAGATCTCAACACGTTTACGGAGCTCCAACCATTACTGTCATTAGAATTGTTATACATTTATTATTATTATTATTATTATTATATGTTACTATGATAATAATAATAATTATGATTATGATTATTATTGTTACTTTATACATTTGTCATTATTATTATAGTTTTATTTATTATTATTATTATTATTATTATTAGTAGTATTATATGTTACTATGATAATAATCATATGATTATGATTATTATTGTTACTTTATACATTTGTCATTATTATTATAGTTTTATTTATTATTATTATTATTATTATTATTAGTATTATATGTTACTATGATAATAATAATAATAATAATTATGATTATTATTGTTACTTTATACATTTGTCATTATTATTATAGTTTTATTTATTATTATTATTATTATTATTATTAGTAGTATTATATGTTACTATGATAATAATCATAATAATAATTATTATTGTTACTTTATACATTTGTCATTATTATTATAGTTTTATTTATTATTTTCATCCTGTCATGTCATTATCGTTTGATGTGGTGTGTGTCGGGTTCTAACCTCGATCCGTGTCTCAGGGTTCTTCAGCAGATCGCAGTCAGTGGAGAGAACCGACCCGGACCTCTGACGGCCTCTGCTCTCTGTACGAGGCGGCGCTCTGTCTGTTTGAGGAGGTAGGACGTTTTTTTCAGGTCTCTGTGCAGAAACTCTCGTTCCTTCAGCGTGAGAAAGTCTTCCTGTTAGAGATCAGCTGTTTGTTTTCTGTAGATGACACTCTGATGAATCCTCCAGGGAGAATGAACCTCACCTCCTTTTCTCCCTCCAGGTCTGTCGGATGGCGTCAGACTACTCTCGCACCTGCGTCAGTCCGGACAGCATTCAGACCGGAGAGGCTCCTGTGGTGTCTGAAACCTGTGAGGTGTACGTGTGGGGCAGTAACAGCAGCCATCAGCTGGTGGAGGGGACGCAGGAGAAGATCCTGCAGCCAAAGCTGGCCGCCAGCTTCGCCGACGCTCAGACAGTAAGAATCAACCCGCCACCTTTCCTGTGAGAGAGTCTCGCTCTCTGTGTGTTCTGGTTCTGGTTCTGGTTCTTTCAGGGTCCAGAACCAAAGATCTGAGCGGACCGAGGAGAGCGGTGTGGAGGAGTGATGAACGGCCGTGAACTGGGCTGCTCCTTTTAATAACATGTTCAATAAAGAGGAGATGAAACAGAGAAATGAACCAGTGAACAAATGAACCAATGAACCACAGCGGAGAGATGAGGGGATTATTTTAGGGGGAATAACAAAGAAACAGAGAAAATCAGCTGATAGTTCTGACAGAGGAGCGGGTTCTCCTGGTCTGGACCGCCTGTCAGACGTGATCAGATGTTTTCTGTGGTTTCTACGGTGAGTGAGGAGGTTTCTGATTCTGTGCTTTTATTTTGAAGTTTGGTGGTTTTCTCCTCTAAACTGTTTCAGAGACTTTTTATTTCGAACCAATCCGATGACAGCGTGTTCACTTTTCTATTTTACATTTTTAACATTTATTTTTATTTCTGTGATTTTTGTAGAATAATTTTTTTAAATTTGTAATTTTCCATGATTTTATTTTTTATTTTATAATTTGAATTTTTAATTTTATTTAATATTTTTTCCACTTTTCCCTTATTTAAGTAAATGGGCTGATTTTTTTTTTAAAGTCAGTTTTTAAAAACGTTTCGGCCGTCAGTGTTTATATATTTATTAAGTATATATATTTATGAAGTGTTTGTATTATTGAAGAGCCTTCTGTATGTGATGATCTTTAGTGTTTCTCTGTAAATGTGACATGATGAAGATCTGACTCTAAACCCAGAGGAACACCTGGTCTGGTCTGGTCTGGTCTGGTCAGGTTTGAATGTTTGTGTTGCTGGTTCAGGACTTTGGTGAGACCCTGAAAAAGGTTCAGTCCGTGGTTCTGGTCCTGGTCAGCCTTCATGATTCTTCAGTTTTAGCGGTGACTCCTGTTTTTATGGTGGCCTTATCTGTGAGAAACAGCAACGACGCCATGAAGGAGGTCCACAGAGAGTTCTGAGTCCTTTTACATGATCCAGCAGACGTGGTTCAGACCTGACTCAGAAGAAGTCCAGAAACAAACTCAGCTGGTCTGAAAGAGGGACAGGTTTTCCTTCAGGACTTTATTTCATGGTCAGTCTTGAAAAAGGCTTTTACTCCGTGTGTGTGTGTGTGTGTGTGTGTGTGTGTGTGTGTGTGTGTGTGTGTGTGTGTGTGTGTGTGTGTGTGAGAGAGAGAGAGATAAGCACACTGAGACCTCTGCTCTGTCAGATTAGTGTTTGAGTTTCAGTTTGAACTTTTTCTTCTGATCTGGACAGAAAGAAAAACACAGACTCTAAAAAAAGGAGGTTAGTGATGCTGCCGTCAAAACTTTACTATTTCTGTTTGTCCAACACACCAATAATAATAACATAATATAATAATAATAATATGATAATAATATAATAATAACATAATATAATAATAATATGATAATAATAATATAATAATAATAACATAATATAATAATAATATGATAATAATATAATAATAACATAATATAATAATAATATGATAATATATTATAATAATAAATAACAATATTATAATAATATAATAATAACATAATATAATAATAATATGATAATAATATGATTATGATATAATAATAACATAATATAATAATAATATAATAATATTATAATAATATTATAATAATAATATAATAATAATAATAATATGATACAGAAATAAAGACATCTGCATCAGAGTGAACAGACACCGTCAGAGAAATCTGTGATGGAGAATATCTGCTGTGAACCAGACGATGATGATGGTGATGATGATGATGATGATGATGATGATGTTGGTGATGATGTTGGTGATGATGATCATCATGATGATGATGGTGATGATGATGATGATGATGATGATGATGATGATGATGATGTTGGTGATGATGTTGGTGATGATGATCATCATGATGATGATGATGACGATGGTGATGGTGATGATGATGATGATGATGGTGATGGTGATGTTGATGATGGTGATGTTGATGATGATGTTGGTGATGATGATCATCATGATGATGATGGTGATGATGATGATTGACACACTCAGTCAGGGAGCAGGACAAGAGGGTCAAAAAAGAGAATAAATACCAGGATATAAATGTTTATATTTGTAAATATTATAGATATCATAGATGAAATAAATATGATAGATATTATAAATATTGTAGATATTTTAGATAATAATATCATAGATATAAATATTATAGATATCGTTAATGTTATAGATATTATAGATATAGTATACAATGGTGATCCTTCAGACAGAGGCGGGTTAAAGTCATCCTGATCCTCTTTAGATCTCCTCTGTCTCCTCCTGAGTTCAGAACCTTCAGTCAGACCTTCACCTCCTTCACCTCCTTCCTTCTCCTCCTCTCTCTTCACAGATTGAAGCAGGTCAGTACTGCACTTTCGTCATCTCCTCGGACGGTTCTGTACGGGCCTGTGGGAAAGGAAGTTACGGTCGCCTCGGGCTCGGAGACTCCAACAACCAGTCGACCCTGAAGAAGCTGACCTTTGAACCCCACCGCGCCATCAAGAAGGTGTCGTCCTCCAAGGGTTCAGACGGTCACACGCTCGCCTTCACCACCGAGGGGGAGGTCTTCAGCTGGGGGGACGGGGATTATGGGAAACTGGGTCATGGGAACAGCTCCACCCAGAAATACCCCAAACTGATCCAGGGACCTCTGCAGGGGAAGGTACCCAACCCAGAACCTGCACCTCCTTCACACTGCTGCACCTCCTCCTAATACAAATGTGTGTTCTTTTAGGTGTGTGTGTGTGTGTGTGTGTGTGTGTGTGTGTGTGTGTGTGTGTGCGTGCGTGCGTGCATGTGTTGACCTTGAATAACCCCGGTCCAAACCTGTGTTCTGGTTCTGGTTGTGTTTCAGGTGGTGGTGTGTGTGTCTGCTGGATACAGACACAGCGCTGCGGTCAGTGAGGACGGAGAGCTCTACACCTGGGGTGAAGGAGACTTTGGAAGATTAGGTAAGAAGGTTCAGATCCTGGATCTGTCAGGGACCCAGGTCTCTGAGATCCACCTGTCCTGTGCTGATGGTTCCTGTAGGAGCTGTAATCCTGGTTCTGTTCAGTCAGAACATCTCAGTACGTTTCTTCTCCAGCTGTTTGTGTTTTTATCGATGATGTGGATTAAAGAGAAGAATCATCATAAATAAACCGAGTTCTCTCTAAAGTTCAGATCTACAGATTCTACTCAGAGGCAGGATGACAGTATTCTGACCCTGAACTTAAACTGTTACTGCATCAATAAAAGTTCCACAAGTTCCCGTCTGTCAATCAAAGATCGGACTTCTGAGCAGCTTCTGACCCGTCTTAACCTTTGCTGTCGTTTGGGGTCACAGGTCACGGCGACAGTAACAGCAGGAACATTCCCACTCTGGTCAAAGACATCAGTAACGTTGGCGAGGTGTCGTGCGGAAGCTCCCACACCATCGCTCTGTCCAAGGACGGGCGCACTGTCTGGTCGTTTGGAGGCGGGGACAACGGTGAGTCAGAAACTGTGGACCACAGCGAGTCCACAAGAAGAGTCCAGAGTCCAGAGTGGGGTTTGAAGTGTGTCCAGGTGTGTTATCAGAGTGTGTGTGTGTGTGTGTGTGTGTGTGTGTGTGTGTGTGTCCACATGCAGGAAAACTGGGTCATGGAGATACCAACCGGGTCTACAAACCAAAGGTGGTGGAGGCCCTTCAGGGGATGTTCATCAGGAAAGTGTGTGCAGGGAGCCAATCATCTCTGGCCTTGACCTCCACAGGACAGGTAGGACTCTTCAAAGACCTGGACCTGGAGGTCTGAAGGTCCCCCTCAGGTCTAAGCTGAACCGTGTCTCTGTGTTCAGGTCTACGCCTGGGGCTGTGGGGCCTGTCTGGGATGTGGTTCCTCTGAGGCCACGGCGCTCAGACCCAAACTGATCGAGGAGCTGGCCATGACCCGGGTGGTGGACATCTCCATCGGGGACAGTCACTGTCTGGCCCTGTCACATGGTACGGTCCACTTCCTGTCAGGTCTGTGGAGGGTTAACCTGACATCATGTTGTAATAGAGAGGAGGGCAGAGACCGAGGGGCGACTGACCCGGTTTCTGACTCCACCTGTCGGGGCGGTCTCTGTCTCTGTGCTGGACTTTAAGAGTCTGAGAACATCACAGAGAGGGTCCCTGCAGAGAGTCAGAGGACCTGGACTTTAATAATAATAATAATAATAATAAATCTTCAACATAAAGCGAGACTCCAAAGCTCGGTCCTGTGGAGGTGTCCTCAACAGTTCAGGTTTGAGTTCTGTAGAGATTCTGACTAAAGCTGTTCACCTGCAGGGACCGTCCTGTAAGATATCAGTGAGGGGAGGGGTTTACTGAGAACGGGGTCATTGATCCCTTAACTATTAACCAATTAATCAACCATCAACCTACCTACCTACACCAGGTTAATTTAACTCTTTAAACTCAGGTTAATTCAACTCTTTAAACTCAGGTTAATTCAACTCTTTAAACTCAGGTTTATTTAACTCTTTATATTCAGGTTAATTTTACCCTTTAAACTCAGGTTTATTTAACTCTTTAAACTCAGGTTAATTTAACCCTTTAAACTCAGGTTTATTTAACTCTTTAAACTCAGGTTAATTTAACTCTTTAAACTCAGGTTTATTTAACTCTTTATATTCAGGTTAATTTTACCCTTTAAACTCAGGTTAACTTAACTCTTTAAACTCAGGTTAATTTAACCCTTTAAACTCAGGTTAATTTAACCCTTTAAACTCAGGTTAATTTAACTCTTTAAACTCAGGTTTATTTAACTCTTTATATTCAGGTTAATTTTACCCTTTAAACTCAGGTTAATTTAACTCTTTAAACTCAGGTTAATTTAACCCTTTAAACTCAGGTTTATTTAACTCTTTATATTCAGGTTAATTTTACCCTTTAAACTCAGGTTAATTTAACCCTTTAAACTCAGGTTAATTTAACTCTTTAAACTCAGGTTTTATTTAACCCTTTAAACTCAGGTTAATTTAACCCTTTAAACTCAGGTTAATTTAACCCTTTATATTCAGGTTAATTTAACCCTTTAAACTCAGGTTAATTTAAGTCTTTAAACTCAGGTTAATTTAACTCTTTAAACTCAGGTTTTATTAACCCTTTAAACTCAGGTTAATTTTACTCTTTAAACTCAGGTTAATTTAACCCTTTAAACTCAGGTTTATTTAACCCTTTAAACTCAGGTTTTATTAACCCTTTAAACTCAGGTTTATTTAACTCTTTATATTCAGGTTAATTTAACTCTTTAAACTCAGGTTAATTTAACTCTTTAAACTCAGGTTAATTTAACTCTTTAAACTCAGGTTAATTTAACTCTTTAAACTCAGGTTAATTTAACTCTTTAAACTCAGGTTAATTTAACTCTTTATATTCAGGTTAATTTAACCCTTTAAACTCAGGTTAATTTAAGTCTTTAAACTCAGGTTAATTTAACTCTTTAAACTCAGGTTTTATTAACCCTTTAAACTTAGGTTAATTTTACTCTTTAAACTCAGGTTAATTTAACCCTTTAAACTCAGGTTAATTTAACTCTTTAAACTCAGGTTTATTTAACCCTTTAAACTCAGGTTAATTTAACTCTTTAAACTCAGGTTTTATTAACCCTTTAAACTCAGGTTAATTTTACTCTTTAAACTCAGGTTAATTTAACCCTTTAAACTCAGGTTTATTTAACTCTTTAAACTCAGGTTTTATTAACCCTTTAAACTCAGGTTAATTTTACTCTTTAAACTCAGGTTAATTTAACCCTTTAAACTCAGGTTTATTTAACTCTTTAAACTCAGGTTTTATTTAACCCTTTAAACTCAGGTTTATTTAACTCTTTAAACTCAGGTTAATTTAACTCTTTAAACTCAGGTTTAATTAACTCTTTAAACTCAGGTTAATTTAACCCTTTAAACTCAGGTTTATTTAACTCTTTAAACTCAGGTTAATTTAACCCTTTAAACTCAGGTTTATTTAACTCTTTAAACTCAGGTTTTATTAACCCTTTAAACTCAGGTTTATTTAACTCTTTAAACTCAGGTTTATTTAACTCTTTAAACTCAGGTTAATTTAACCCTTTAAACTCAGGTTAATTTAACTCTTTAAACTCAGGTTTATTTAACCCTTTAAACTCAGGTTAATTTAACTCTTTAAACTCAGGTTAATTTAACTCTTTAAACTCAGGTTAATTTAACTCTTTAAACTCAGGTTTATTTAACTCTTTAAACTCAGGTTAATTTAACTCTTTAAACTCAGGTTTTTAAAAGTAAAGCTGAAGTTCACAGACCCAGAGTTCAGATCATGACTCCAGGCCCTTCTTAAAAATAAAACGTCATGTTTCACTCTCTCTCTTTTCTCTCTTCTCTCTCTCTCTCTCTCTCTCTTTTTTTTTACTCCTCCATCATCCAGATAATGAAGTCTACGCCTGGGGAAACAACTCCATGGGTCAGTGTGGTCAGGGGAACTCCACCGGACCCATCACTAAACCCAAGAAGGTCGTCGGTCTGGACGGAGTCGCCATCCAGCAGATCTCAGCGGGGACGTCTCACAGCCTGGCGTGGACGGCTCTGCCCAGAGACAGGTCAGCTGAGTGGGGGGGTGTCTGTGTTTGAGGGGGAGGTCAAAGGTCAGGAGACTGTGTTTTTCACTGTTTGGTTGGTGATGCGTCTGAACGCTCCGTTGTGCTTCAGGGGAACTCTGAAGTCCTGCTCTGGTTCTGACCCGCCTCTCTTTGCTCTTCAGACAGGTGGTGGCGTGGCACCGGCCCTACTGCGTGGACCTTGAAGAAAGCACCTTCTCCCACCTGCGCTCCTTCCTGGAGCGTTACTGTGACGGCATCAACAGCGAGGTTCCTCCTCTGCCGTTCCCCTCGTCCAGGTGAGACCACGTCATCCTCAAACCCGTCTCCTCATGGAACCACCTCCACCCTCTTCTCTGGGTCTAAGGTGGATCCTCCGTCACTCAGGTACCACTAATTCCAGTCATGTGGGGTTTTTGTGTCTGCAGGGAGCATCATAACTTCCTCAAGTTGTGCCTTCGGCTTCTGTCCAATCATCTGGCTCTGGCTCTGGCGGGGGGCGTGGCCACCAGTATCTTGGGTCGTCAGGCGAGGCCTCTGAGGAACCTCCTGTTCAGACTGATGGACTCCTCAGTACCGGATGAGATTCAGGAGGTACGAGGAGGAGGACAGATGTTTGTTCTGTGCGGTCGGCAGGTTCACTAAGAGAGAGAGAGAGAGAGAGCGAGAGAGAGAGAGAGAGAGGAGTACCCCTTGTGGGCCCTCTAGACCCTCTTGTGGTTCCCCTTTAGTAGTCCCACAAGTTCCCAAAGTAGTCTTCTGTTTCAGTCCTGTCTCTCAGGTACTAAAGGAACCTTCAGTCATGTCCACGTAAACGTCCCACCGCTGAGAGGACCACCTTTAAACTCTGAAATAAGGACTGGACTTAGGCGGGAACCTTAGAACCTTTAGAACCTGACTGAGGTTCCAGGAACCTCAGTCAGGTTCAGGGTTCCTGGTGTCTAAACCTGAATAAACAGGGAGGAGGAAAGAGGGAACCCTAAACCCGACCTCACCTGAGCTCACCTGTGTGTGTGTGTGTGTGTGTGTGTGTGTGTGTGTGTGTGTGTGTGTGTGTGTGTGTGTGTGTGTGTGTGTCTCCCCCAGGCTGTGATCGAGACCCTGTCGGTGGGGGCCACCATGCTGCTCCCCCCGCTCAGAGAGAGGATGGAGCTGCTCCACTCTCTGCTCCCTCAGGGTCCTGACAGATGGGAGAGTCTCTCCAAAGGACAGGTACCCTGACCCTGTTTTTACGTTTCAGAGAATCAAAAATTAAAAAAGGAGAAAAAAAAACTCTAGAGTTAAAATTTTAACCAAAAGAGAGAGAGAACGAAGAGAAGAGACAGAAGAACCGAGTTTATTAAGGAGTTTTTAAAGTTTATTCAGGAGTTTTTAAAGTTTATTCAGGAGATTTTAAAGTTTATTCAGTGTTTTTTAAAGTTTATTCAGGAGTTTTTAAAGTTTATTCAGGAGATTTTAAAGTTTATTCAGTGTTTTTTAAAGTTTATTCAGTGTTTTTTAAAGTTCATTCAGTGTTTTTTAAAGTTTATTCAGGAGTTTTTAAAGTTTATTTAGGAGATTTTAAAGTTTATTCAGTGTTTTTTAAGTTTATTCAGGAGTTTTTAAAGTTTATTTAGGAGATTTTAAAGTTTATTCAGGAGATTTTAAAGTTTATTCAGGAGATTTTAAAGTTTATTCAGGAGATTTTAAAGTTTATTCAGGAGTTTTTTAAAGTTTATTCAGGAGTTTTTAAAGTTTATTCAGGAGATTTTAAAGTTTATTCAGGAGTTTTTAAAGTTTATTCAGGAGATTTTAAAGTTTATTCAGGAGTTTTTAAAGTTTATTCAGGAGTTTTTAAAGTTTATTCAGGAGATTTTAAAGTTTATTCAGGAGTTTTTAAAGTTTATTCAGGAGATTTTAAAGTTTATTCAGGAGATTTTAAAGTTTATTCAGGAGATTTTAAAGTTTATTCAGGAGTTTTTAAAGTTTATTCAGGAGATTTTAAAGTTTATTCAGGAGATTTTAAAGTTTATTAAGAGATTTTAAAGTTTATTTAGGAGATTTTAAAGTTTATTCAGGAGATTTTAAAGTTTATTTAGGAGATTTTAAAGTTTATTCAGGAGATTTTAAAGTTTATTTAGGAGATTTTAAAGTTTATTCGTTTATTCAAGAGTTTTTAAAGTTTATTCAGGAGATTTTAAAGTTTATTCAGGAGATTTTAAAGTTCATTCAGTGTTTTTTAAAGTTTATTCAGGAGTTTTTAAAGTTTATTCAGGAGATTTTAAAGTTTATTCAGGAGATTTTAAAGTTTATTCAGGAGATTTTAAAGTTTATTCAGGAGATTTTAAAGTTTATTCAGGAGTTTTTAAAGTTTATTCAGTGTTTTTTAAGTAAATTCAGTGGTTGTTAAAGTATATTTTGGTATTCTTTAAAGTCTTGAAGGCCCCCTCAGTTCTTCTCACCATCAGGTCTTTGTTTCTTCTTCTCAGAGGATGCAGTTGGACATCATCCTCACCAGTCTCCAGGACCACACCCACGTGGCCTCGCTCCTCGGTTACAGCTCTCCTGCTGACGGCCCAGAGGTCCTGTCATCAGCTCCGGGTTTTACAGCCACCTCTGACGGCGCCACAGCGGGCCACCCTGACACCCACCTGGCTGAGATCCTGATGAAGACCCTGCTGAGGAACCTGGGCTTCTACACGGTGAGGGGGTGGTGTTGGACGGAGCTCCGTCAGAGAGCTTTAATGATTGATTCAGTCTGGTGATCAATAAAAATGGAGTTTGTAGATCATAATGATCCATGAAGCTCTGACAGGGACAGACCTTAGTGAGGAAGAAGGTCCTCCTCCTCCTCCTCCTCCTCCTTCTTTTGCTCCTCCTCCTCCTCCTCCTCCTCCTCCTCCTCCTTCTTCTGCTCCTCCTTCTCCTCCTCCTCCTTCTCTTCCTCCTCCTCCTCCTCCTCCTTCTTCTGCTCCTCCTCCTTCTCCTCCTCCTCCTTCTCTTCCTCCTCCTTCTCCTTCCCCTTCTTCTTCTGCTCCTCCTCCTCCTTCTTCTGCTCCTCCTTCTCCTCCTCCTCCTTCTCTTCCTCCTCCTCCTCCTCCTCCTCTCTCCTTCAGGAGGAGCATGAGTCAGCTTTAATCCTTTCTTATCATCACCTGACGCCTCTTTCCGGGCTCAACAGCAGCAGCTCTCGAAAGGCTGCAGATATTGATTTTACCACACTCACACACACACACACACACTCACACACACACACACACACTCACACACACACACACACACACACACACACACACACACACACACTCACACACTCACACACACACTCACTCACACACACTCACTCACACACACACTCACACACACACACACACACACACTCTGGGTTATTTTAAGTGTGTGTGATCATGCAGGCCTCTCCCTGCGTCTCCTCTTCAGCTCCTCCTCTCTCTCCTCTCGTTCAGACCGAAACGACAAACTTTAATCTGATAACAGACGCTGCAGTTTGGACCAAACCCAGTTTTACAGACGGAGGTGTGATGATGATGATGATGATGAAGATGATGATGAAGATGATGGGATAACAGAGTTCATGTCTGCTCTCATCATTAGAGGTCCAGTTTTAGGACTTAAACTCAGACCTGTTTCCTGTTCTTCATCATCGTCTTCTTCACTCATCCAGACATTCCTGTTTTTAAAGAGAGCTGGATCTGTCTAAGCTCCGCCCCCTTAGTGAGAACCTGACGAGAGAGGACGAGCTGGACCGCACTTCTCTGCAGATGAGACAGATATAGATATCTCACTTTGTACATCTATATCTAACATTGTATATCTATATCTATGAGCTAATGTTGTACATCTATATCTATATCTATGAGCTAATGTTGTACATCTATATCTATATCTATGAGCTAATGTTGTACATCTATATCTATATCTATGAGCTAACGCTGACAGACCGACCCAAACACGTGACTTCAGCTCTGTAACATGTTTAATCGACTCCTTTACCTTAAAGTGATGAAGGTTCACACCTGAACTGGAACACAGGTTCACCTGGACACACACTAGAACCCTGAACCTGGCACTGTTTACATCCAATATGTATGTGTGTGTGTGTGTGTGTGTGTGTGTGTGTGTGTGTGTCTGTGTGTGTCTGTGTGTGTCTCTGTGTGTGTCCCTGTGTGTGTCTCTGTGTGTGTCCCTCTCTGTGTGTGTCCCTGTGTGTCCCTGTGTGTGTCTCTGTGTGTGTCCCTGTGTGTGTGTCTGTGTGTGTCTGTGTGTCCCTGTGTGTGTCCCTGTGTGTCCCTGTGTGTGTGTCCCTGTGTCCCTGTGTGTGTCCCTGTGTGTCTCTGTGTGTGTGTCTCTGTGTGTGTCCCCCTCTGTGTGTGTCCCCCTCTGTGTGTCCCCCTCTGTGTGTGTCCCTCTCTGTGTGTGTCTCTGTGTGTCCCCCTCTCTGTGTCCCCCTCTGTGTGTGTCTCTGTGTGTCCCCCTCTGTGTGTGTCTCTGTGTGTGTCTGTGTGTGTCTCTGTGTGTCCCCCTCTCTGTGTCCCCCTCTGTGTGTGTCTCTGTGTGTGTCCCTGTGTGTGTCCCTGTGTGTCCCCCTCTGTGTGTCCCTCTGTGTGTCCCCCTCTGTGTGTCCCCCTCTGTGTGTGTCTCTGTGTGTGTCTCTGTGTGTCCCTGTGTGTCCCTCTCTGTGTGTCCCCTCTGTGTGTGTCCCTGTGTGTCTCTGTGTGTGTCCGTGTATCTCTGTGTGTGTCCCTGTGTGTGTCCCTCTCTGTGTGTCCCCCTCTGTGTGTGTCTCTGTCTGTGTCCCTGTGTGTGTCCCTGTGTGTGTCTCTGTGTGTGTCTCTGTGTGTGTCCCTGTGTGTGTCTCTGTGTGTCCCTGTGTGTCCCTCTCTGTGTGTGTCTCTGTGTGTGTCCCTGTGTGTGTCTCTGTGTGTCCCTGTGTGTGTCCCTGTGTGTCTCTGTGTGTGTCCGTGTATCTCTGTGTGTGTCCCTGTGTGTCCCCCTCTCTGTGTGTCCCCCTCTGTGTGTGTCTCTGTGTGTGTCTCTGTGTGTCCCTGTGTGTGTCTCTGTGTGTCTCTGTGTGTGTCCCCGTGTGTCCCTGTGTGTCCCTGTGTGTCCCTCTCTGTGTGTGTGTCTCTGTGTGTCCCCCTCTGTGTGTCCCCCTCTCTCTGTGTCCCTCTTCAGGACCAGGCCTTCGGGGAGTTGGAGAAGAACAGCGATAAGCTGCAGCAGGGCACGTCCTCGTCGGACAGCAGTCAGCCCGCCCACCTCCACCAGCTGCTCTGCTCTCTGCAGAAACAGCTGTTGGCGTTCTGTCACATCAACTCTGTCACTGAGGTACGCACGCGCTCAGACCCCGTCCCGCCTCCTCGCAGTCATGTGACTATGTTAGAAACAGGAAGTGTCATTTGTTCAGAGCCTCTTCTCCTGATCTTCTCCACGTGCAGAACTCCAGCAGCGTGGCCTTACTCCACAAACATCTGCAGCTCCTGCTGCCGCACGCCACCGACATCTTCTCCCGCTCGGCCGCCCTGATCAGGGAGAGCTCCTGGAACGGGAGCATCCGCGAGAAGCTGCAGGGTGAGGAGGAGCGCCGACTGACTCTGTGTGGAGCGAGGAGCTTTGACCTCGCCGTCTGACTGTGTTGACCTCAGCTGACGCCTGTTTGTGTGTCACAGACAGAGAACGAGGACGCCGCGGCGAGGCGTTTCTAAAAAAGACTCATGTCAAAATAATCCCTTTAAAGACAGGCGTTAAAAACAGGCAGAACAGTCAACCATCAGGTCAAACAAAGACCAGAGTCAGAGTCAGACCTAAAGATCTGAAGATCCAAAACCTGGTCCAGAAGGGTCTGCGGACCAGAACACGCTCCTCTTGAGCGTGTCGTAGATTTGTTTGAGATGTGAACGAAACACAAACACAGAAATCAGAGAGTGAAGGAAACCACCGAGACGATGAGCACAGACCTGTCCGTCTGTTACCATGGTGATAAGAGAGTTAGGAACATCACTTTCAAACTGATGAAACATGTGTGATCAATTAAATGTAATGTTTGATCAGCTGACGGCCCGTCTCCAGGCAGAAACCTCAGCTGGACCTGTGAGGAGGTCAGGAGGAGGAGGTCACCTGCTGCTTCAGGTGGATCCATGTTTGATGGCGACTCCTGCGATTAACAAAGAGGTCAAAAAACATGGGAGAAGTTTGTGAGGAGGAGGTCTATGACTCGCTAAATAATGAGCATCTTAAATTTATTGAAACTAAAATATTCTCCAGGTCGACTTCAAACAACAAGCGAAATAAAAAAGGAAATTTAGCGATAAAGAGTGTTTCACTTCTTCAGCACCGAGCAGAAACAGAAAACAGCTGTCCTCACTCTCTAACCACAGGAGCAGCAAAGACACCAATAATCACTCATTCATGATAATCAATATCCTGAACTTTTCCAAATAATTCAGAGAATCAAAGAATCAATAAGCTTCGCTGCGCTCAGATCTCAGAGGTCTTAGTCCACCAGCCTCCTGACGGTTGATCCTCAGAGGAGTCCTGTCCCTCAGAAGTCTGCAGGTTTTTGGATGGAGACGGTTCAGAGTCCTGGTGGACTTTCCTCTAGTCCTGGTCTTGATGGAGATGTTCTTGGTTGTTCCTCTGATCCTCTGATCGATCGCAGACTGACTCCCTCGCCTCGTCTCTCTCCTCTCTCTCCTCCAGATGTCATCTTCGTGTCGGCGGCGGGCAGTATGTTGTGTCAGATCGTCAACTCGCTGCTGCTCCTCCCCGTGTCGGTGGCGAGGCCTCTGCTGAGCCACCTTCTGGACCTGCTGCCTCCTCTGGACCGCCTCAACAGACTGCTGCCTGCAGCCGCCCCGCTGGAGGACCAGGAGCTGCAGTGGCCTCTGCACGGTGAGAAAGTCCAGACCTCATCTGGTCCTCCTCACGGTTCAGACGTTAGCCCTCAGGTGTCAAAGATCCAGCTGTTCCAGGTGTTCATGACTCCTCCTCTTCCTGTTTCCCTCGCTCCATCACACCTTCAGGTACGTCAGACTTCGCAGAGCCGGCCTCAGGTATGTCCCTGCCACAGCCGGCGCTCTCCTGGGTCTGGTTGGTGGATCTGGAGAGGACGGTCGCCCTCCTGGTGGGTCGTTGTCTCGGCGGGATGCTGCAGGGGGCGCCAACCTCTCTGGAGGAGCAGGACACGGCGTACTGGCTCAAAACGCCGCTCTTCAGCAACGGACTGGAAATGGACATCCCTCAGCTGGGTGAGCAGAGAGACGGCCGGACGGACGGGGGGCGGGTTCATGAGATCTGAAAACGGGTTTTAGATCCTATTATAGTGAGATTAAGATTATAGAATAATGTAGTCAGATTAAGATTAAAGAATACTGTAGTGAGATTAAGATTATAGAATAATGTAGTCAGATTAAGATAAAAAAATACTGTAGTCAGATTAAGATAAAAAAATACTGTAGTTAGATTAAGATTATAGAATATTGAAGTTAGATTAAGATTATAGAATACTGAAGTCAGATTAAGATTAAAGAATATTGAAGTCAGATTAAGATTATAGAATACTGTAGTCAGATTAAGATAAAAAAATACTGTAGTTAGATTAAGATTATAAAATACTGACGTTAGATCAAGATTAAAGAATACTGAAGTTAGATCAAGATTATAGAATACTGAAGTTAGATTAAGATTATAGAATACTGTCGTTAGATTAAGATTATAAAATACTGTAGTTAGATTAAGATTATAGAATATTGAAGTTAGATTAAGATTATAGAATACTGAAGTCAGATTAAGATTAAAGAATATTGAAGTCAGATTAAGATTATAGAATACTGTAGTCAGATTAAGATAAAAAAATACTGTAGTTAGATTAAGATTATAAAATACTGAAGTTAGATTAAGATTATAGAATACTGAAGATAGATCAAGATTAAAGAATACTGAAGTTAGATTAAGATTATAGAATACTGAAGTTAGATTAAGATTATAGAATACTGTAGTTAGATTAAGATTATAGAATACTGTAGTTAGATTAAGATTATAGAATACTGTAGTTAGATTAAGATTATAGAATACTGTAGTTAGATTAAGATTAAAGAATACTGTAGTCAGATTAAGATTATAGAATACTGTAGTTAGATTAAGATTATAGAATACTGTCGTTAGATTAAGATAATAAATTACTGAAATTAGATTAAGATTATAGAATACTGTAGTGAGATTAAGATTATAGAATAATGTAGTCAGATTAAGATTATAGAATACTGTAGTAAGATTAAGATTATAGAATACTGAAGTTAGATTAAGATTATAGAATACTGTCGTTAGATTAAGATTATAGAATACTGTAGTTAGATTAAGATTATAGAATACTGAAGTTAGATCAAGATTATAGAATATTGAAGTTCGATTAAGATTATAGAATACTGTCGTTAGATTAAGATTATAGAATAATGTAGTCAGATTAAGATTATAGAATAATGTAGTCAGATTAAGATTATAGAATACTGAAGTTAGATCAAGATTATAAAATACTGTAGTTAGATTAAGATTATAGAATACTGAAACTAGATTAAGATTATAGAATACTGTAGTTAGATTAGGATTATAGAATACTGAAACTAGATTAAGATTATAGAATACTGTAGTTATATGAAGGTTTTTAAATAAGGCAGATTTTTAGTCACGTGTCCTCCCGTCGCCTTAAATCAGAACTTTTTAATTTAATTTAAAATAAAAACACAGAGCAACTCTTTGTTTTTGTTTTTATTAAGGAGGAGATCATCTGTGTGTCTTCTCTCTGAGATGATTCTCATTTCTTCACTCCTGTCCTCTCACACCCGTCTTCTCCTGTCCTCGCCCCTGTCCTCTCTCTTGTACTAACACTCGTCCTCTCTCCTGTTGTTTCCTGTCCTCACCCCTGTCCTCTCACCCCTGTCCTCTGTCCCCTGTCCCTCAGACACCTGTATCAGCTCCTTGTTGGAGGCGGCCCTGTCGGGGAACGAGGAGCAGAAACCGTTGGACTGTACTCTCCGTCCGGACCTGAGCGTCTTGGTGGACCTGGCTCTGGGTTCGTCTAAAGAACCGGCCAACAGTCTGTGGATCAACATGCAGGACTACGCCATCAGTAAAGGTCTGCTGTGGTTCTGAGGGGGGTTCTGGTGGTCTCTGTGGACCGGGTCGCTGACTGTCCTGGTGTTTGTGTTTCAGACTGGGACAACGCGTCTCTCAGTAACGAGTCCCTGTTGGACACCGTGTCCAGGTTTGTGTTGGCGGCTTTACTGAAGCACACGGGTCTGCTGGGACAAGGCTGTGGAGAGGGCAGGTACTGGACCATGAGAAGGTTCTGAGGGGGGGCTGAGGTCCAGTTTCTCCTGGATCAGCTGGACTCTGTCTCATGTCCCGTTTTGTCCTCAGGTACCAGCCGTCCAAGTCTCTGGCTGAAGTTTATCGCAGCGTCTATAAGGTCCGGAACCGCCTGCTGGCCTGTAAGAACATGGACTTCATCCAGACCAGATCGTCTTCACGAGAGCGGAGGGTGAGTGAGTGTCTGCTCAGATCTTCATCCACCCCATCTTCATCTTCTTCTCACCGAGCGTCATCTGGTTTCAGATCTCAGACAATCAGGACTCTCTGGACATGGACCCTCAGGAGCACTCCTTCACACGCACCATCGACGAGGAGGCGGAGCTTGAGGAGCGAGCCGACCGCGAGAGAGAGGAGGGGCATCAGGAGCAGGACGAGGAGGAAGAGGACAGGGAGCACGAGGTCATGACGGCTGGAAGTGAGTTCACCTGTGTGTGTCTGTGTGTGTGTGTGTGTGTGTGTGTGTGTGTCTGTGTGTGTGTGTGTGTGTGTCTGTGTGTGTGTGTGTGTGTGTGTGTGTGTGTGTGTGTGTGTGTGTGTGAGTGTGTGTGTGTGTGTGTGTGTGTGTGTGTGTGTGTGTGTGTGTGTGTGTGTGTGTGTGTGTGTGTGTGTAAAAACAGCTGATCTGTGTTTTTGCTGCAGTGACTTCTCCAGTGTTAGCGTGTTAGCATGTTAGCTTGTGTTGAGCGCTCAGTCGTGTTTTGCTAACAGCTTCAGTTTGAGGAGCTGCCCCCCCCCCCCCGTTAACTCCATGGTAACGAGGAGTCGTGTTTCCTGCTCCTCACTGCTCCTCACTGCTCCTCTAACCCGGCGTCCTGTGTGTGTTTCTTTGTGTGTTTTTGTGCGTCCTACACGACAGAAATCTTTCAATGTTTCCTCTCAGCGCGGGAGGTCGCTCGCAGCCGGGACAGAGAGCGGGCCAGCAGCAGTACCGGACTGGGCTCAGGTTCTGTTTCCAGGAGCGGAGGAGGAGGAGGAGGAGGAGGAGGAGGGGAGGACGACTCCATCCTGTCTCAGGAGGGGAGGAGGGGCAGCACGGGTCTCCCCGAGGGTCAGGACCTTTACACGGCGGCCTGTAACTCCGTGATCCACCGCTGCGCTCTGCTGCTGCTCGGGGTCAGCCCGGTTCTGGGAGAGCTGAGCAAACAGAACCAGGAGGAGGGCCAGACCCAGTCCACTACGGGGACGCAGGAGTGTCTGAGCTTCATGACCAGGTCAGAGCGGGGGGGCGGGGTCTGTCGCTCACTGTCGTTCCTACAGAACCGTCAGCAGGGGATGGTAGGAGAAGGTCCCGCCTACTTCACCTCTGATTGGCTGTGAAACTTCATCACACGCTCCAGCCGAGCGCGGGCCATCGGTTCTGTACATCAAACAGAACTTTACAGAACCCAAACCCGACAGACGATGAGGTTTCACAGCCATAAGGAATAACCAATCAGAGCCCAGCACTTCTACCCAATCAGAGGCGAAGAGGGCGGGACCTTCGTCTACCATCCTACAAAAGAAATCATCCCAGTCTAGACCTGGTCCCTCCCTTTGTCCTCAGACCTGGTCTTGGTCTGGTCCATCAGGTCCACAGTAACACAACAGAAGACCTGACAGAGTTTAACTGTTTAAAGTCCAAAGGAGGAAAAAAGGGACATCAGATAAAAACAGAAAAAATCCTTTAAAAAATAAACTTTTATAGAAACTAGGGATGGACCGAATGGGAAAATCTTGGCCGAAACCGAATACCGAATATAAGAAACACTTGGCCGAATAACCGAATACCGAATAGCCGAATATGATTAATAAATATGTATATAAATTATGATTTTTTATCATCAAGCAATTTTTGTACAATTGCTGTCATTGCCGTACATTTGTTTTAAAGCTACCTGATTATGGCAAAACCTGGCAAACTTAAATATTAATCACTTTATGTTTGAACCATGAAACATTTATTCAGCTGACATGACATAACAATGCTATAACAATAACATTCAATAAAATAAAATTAAGTAAATAACATCTTTGCAATAACAATACAAAAAAGTGCAATTTTCCCTGTAGGATAGCCTAAAGTAAATAAAATAAAATGTACATATGCAAAATAAATAAAATAAATGCAGGTACATGCATGCATATACATGATTGTGCAACAGTAAACACAAATCCAGGCCTGAGGACTTCAACATGCACTTACATGCATGCATATACGATTGTGCAAACTTTTGTGCAGTGAGTTTCTTAAACTCGTCATGTTTGTCCTTATGTTTAGCGCTCAAGTGGTTGATTCGCCCCGATGTACTGAAAGTTTTTGCCGTCACACCACCTCGAGACACTTCAGCAGAGCAGAGTTTACAAATTGCCATCAGACCATCTTTCTCTGATATGTCGAAATATTTCCAAACCGCAGACATGTCGGTTGAACGGCTTCGAGCCAAGACAGCTGCACGTATCGTGTGCGTCGTATCAGCATGCCGGTGTTGTGCCGTAGAATGCACCCCCGACAGGAGCGCGGTTGAAAGTACTTAACAAGGCGAAAATAATCCAAGCTTTCCTTACCATTGGATGAATTCAAAAGCGTGTGCCTTTAATAACTTCATTCAGGCTACTCAGATAAGCCGAAAAAATAGCCATCTGATTCAGAATATTATAATATAATGTATGCCAGCTTGACAGTTTACTGTACAGTTTATATACCCAAGCACACCTCCGTATGTGCATTTTGGAGACAGGTAAAATCAGAACGAAAGTTGTAACGATCAAATAGTCGTGTTTTTTAAAATATGAGATCATTTTCTTCCACTTTAAGAAGCTAACGAGTGGATGGGAGGCAGGGGGTGCTTTCTACGGCACAACACCGGCTTGCCTCTTGTCGCGTTCCGATTACGTCATCAACATGCCACTAAAACAGGGAAAACAGCGCCGTCTGCGTTTTCCGTTTTTGAGAGTTCATTCTAGACATATTTTTATCCACACTATTCGGTAATTTTTTTCGGCCATAACATCTATTCGGCCGAAAACCGAAAATTCATTTTTGATGCTTTTCGGCCGAATATTTTCGGCGCCGAATATTCGGACCCATCCCTAATAGAAACTGTGAAGTGAGTCTTCTCTGGTTCAGAGTCCTCGGCACAATAACAGGAGAGAGAACCTAAATATATAATCTGGACTCTGTGATGGTTCCTCAGAACCACAGTGTTAAATAAAGAGAGCAGGTCAACTCCAGGACCGCTCTGACTGACCTGATTCACCCAAACCTACTTTACCCTCCATCACTGTTGACACGGGGGTGAAGATCTCCAGAGGGAGAGTCTTCGAGGGTTAATGAGGGTTTAAAAGTCCAGGACGGGACCTGAAGGGCTCTGTGTGATGATGTCAGAGCGTTAAAGGACCAATCAGAGCCCCTCAGGAAATGAATCAGAGACTCACCTGGAGTGACTCCAGACCTGTTGGTTCTTGTTAGTCCTGAAACGTTCAGCTGAGGTGAAGCTGACGGGATCATGATCCAGGATCCCTCAGGTAGACCTGCAGAGACCAGGTCCGTCAGCAGAACCACAGAGACTCTGGTTCTGACCGCAGGACTCTGGACCCTGTAGAACCAGACCTGGAGATCCCAGTTTGAATAGACCAGCTCAGTGTGTTAAAGGGCGACTGTGTGAGGCTGATTACAGGTGAAGATCTGAGTGAGTCATGAAGCCACGCCCACTCTCAGGTAACCGGAGGACAGGTGTGTCTGCTGCTCTTAAACCGGGAACCCTGGTCCAGGTCAGATCAGGTCCAGGTCTCACCTCCTGTCACCTGATCAGAGAAGGGTGTGAGCAGACTGGGTCACATGACTCCAAGTGACGGTCACATGACTGACTGGTTCTGGTTCTGGTTCTGTGTGTCTGTAGGAGTGAGAGTCTGAGCGCGGAGAGCCGCTCGGTCCAGAACAGTCCCAGTTACAGACTGATGAAGTCCAGGAGTGAGTCGGACCTGTCCCAGCCCGAGTCCGACGAGGAGGGCTACACTCTGGTACCGCCCCCGCCCCCCCCCCACAGTCATGTTTACGGTGGGAATGACACGCCCCATCTTGACCTCTTGACCTCTTGTTTGTGTTCCAGAGTGGGAGGAGAAACGTGGACCTGGATTTGGCCTTCTCTCACAAGAAGAGAGGTAAAGATGGCGGTGGCGGTGTCTGTGAGCAGGATGTTGTTTAGTTGTTTGTGGTCGTGTGTCAGTCATGTGTCCCTCTTGTCTCTCTGTGTGTGTGTGTGTCTGTGTGTGTCTGTGTGTGTCTGTGTGTGTCGATAGTTTATTTGCTTCTTTTGGGACAGTTGAGTCCAAAACACAAGAGGAGCTCCAAGCAAGTAAACGATGATGGCATGTTTCCTCCTCCTGACTTAGATCACTCCTCCATGACCATGACCATGACCCCGCCCCCCCGTTCATCCGCCATGATCAGAGCTTCAGATCCACACTCTGTGATAGAGCAGACACTGACCAATCACAGACGAGTCTCCTGCTGACCGTCCCTTTAAACCATGATAACGGACAATTTGAGTCCTTGAGTTAGACCACGCCCCCATGGTGGACAGCTCTGAGGACCTGCTGATGTCACCTCAAACGGGGGGGGATCATTTCACTGATCTGATCATCAGGGCCCCCCCCCGACTCTAGTCTGTCAACAAAATAAAACAAGAATTTTAAAGGCTCTTTATCTGTCGTTCAGTTTTCTGTAAATTAGTTCATATTTAATTAGAGATCATGACCTCATTTACATATTCAAACATAATATTTGACTGAACCTGTGATATAAAAAATATTTGTCTTAAAGTTATAAACTCTGGAAGTTTCATGCTGATATCTGTTAGTTAAAAATTGTACCCTGTTTACTTGATCTACTTGAAAATGACGCCTTTCTAGAGGTCAAACTTTGGTCAACTTTAGTTTGTTCTTACGGACGTCTAATACTATAAAAACAGCTGAGGAACCTTTGGTAGAATTATTTTAGAGTTAAGCTCCTCCCACACCGGGACCGTTTTTTTCGTGTGATTATTTCGGACGTCAATATTTTTTTTTAACCCGTATCCTGTCAATACAAGCGTCACATCAGCGACGTTTTCCCGTCCTGCGATATTACGGCATTTATTTTATCGGATCACGGTCGATTTTTCTAAAGTTTCTCAGACTGTGTGTCCACTTCTGACCAATCAGATTTCATGTTGTTGTGACGTCAGATTCAGCAGTATATCCAACATGGCCGACCGGCTGATTGTTTACGTGTCGGAGAACAGAGTGATTTTTGATCAAAGACACAAACATTACAAAGATAACGACCTGAAGGACGACTTGTGGAGACGATGGTTTGTGAGCTTTAACAGTTTGATAAACGTCTTTGTTTGAACTTTCATCTGTGCTAACGTAAGCTAACGGTTGTTACCATAGTTACATGTTCTTATTTTCTCCCCTCTGATTGGCTATAAGTGCTGACCGTTTCAGTGAGCGTGTGATGCTGTTTCCAGCTTTTCTAGCCAATCAGAGGTGGAGGAGGCGGGACTTTCCCCGGACGCGTCCTTTTCCCCCGGAAAGTCTCAAAACCACATCAGGCTCGATGTGTTCAGTCAGACACGTCAAAATCCGCCTCCCAGTATTTAGTGATTTCGTGTCGGCCCCGGTGGGTAAGGCCCTTAAGGTGGTGTGTTTTTCATATTTGGACCCGCCTAGACTGTGAACTCTGTGACCCTGAATGATCCGGGTCCAGACCTGGACTCAGAGCTGTCCACCTGAGCAGGATCCCTCAGGAGGACCCAGAATAAAACCAGGTGGAAACAGGTCTTCAGTGCCCCCCCCTTCATGGGGTCTTGTTCTGCATGAAGATCCGGCGTTCGTTGGTTCAGCCATGTCATGACCTCTGACCCCCCTCAGCCGTCCTCACTCAGACCCTGCAGGGTTCTGGTTCTGATTGGCTGTTGTCTCCTCCTGTCTCCAGGTTTTCTCCACAGTTCTCCGGACTCTCTGGCTGAGTCCTGGTTCCGGGCCAAGCTGAGCCGGCAGCGCAGCTACAGCTCCGCCCACTCCTACGAGGAGTCGGACCTGGACCTGAACCGCTCTCTGGGGATCCACGCCCTCATCGACAACATGGTCAGCTTCATCAGCGGGGACGTGGGCCTGGCTCCGGCCTTCAAGGAACCTGAAGAGAGCATGTCCACCAGTCCACAGGCCACCATCCTGGCCATGGAGCAGCAACAGAACCGGGCCGAGGTGAGGGACCCGGTCCAGATCTTTAGAGTCCACTTCAGTCCTGTGGAGTAAAGATGGCGCTGGTTTCTGACGGTGTCTGTGTCCACAGCTGCGGTTGGAGGCGCTCCATCAGATCGTGGTCCTGATCTCTGGGATGGAGGAGAAGGGGAGCCAGCCCGGAACCACAGACCGGCCCAGCAGTACCTTCCAGTCCTCCTCCCTGCTCACCTCGGTCCGGCTCCAGTTCCTGGCGGGTTGTTTTGGACTCGGAACGGTGGGCACGGGGGGTCTGAAGAGAGAGAGCGTCCAGCTGCATCACTACCAGGTAGGGGGGGCGGGGTCACCTGAGCCGGGTCAGCTCAGAGGATTTAGATCAGGGGGTGTGTGAAAACAGAACCAGGACCAGAGGAGACCTTCTGAAGACTTGTGGGTTTTTCCAGGACGGGGTCAAAGCCGCCAAGAGGAGCATCCAGATGGAGATCCAGACCGCCGTTCACAAGATCTACCAGCAGCTGTCCGTCACCCTGGAGAGGGCGCTGCAGGCCAACAAGCACCACATAGGTGAGAGAGAGAGGCTCCGCCCCCAGACCTGTGAGACCGACAGGTTCTTATTGACCGATGAGGCCGATGAGACCTCATAGACCTGAGAGACCTCATAGACCTGAGAGACCTGAGAGACCTCATAGACCTGAGAGACCTGTTAGACCTGAGAGACCTCATAGACCTGAGAGACCTCGTAGACCTGTTAGACCTGGGAGACCTGAGAGACCTCATAGACCTGAGAGACCTGTGAGACCTGAGAGACCTGAGAGACCTGAGAGACCTCATAGACCTGTGAGACCTGAGAGACCTCATAGACCTGAGAGACCTGAGAGACCTCATAGACCTGAGAGACCTCATAGACCTGTTAGACCTGAGAGACCTCATAGACCTGAGAGACCTCATAGACCTGAGAGACCTGAGAGACCTCATAGACCTGTTAGACCTGAGAGACCTCATAGACCTGAGAGACCTCATAGACCTATGAGACCTGAGAGACCTCATAGACCTGAGAGACCTGTGAGATCTCATAGACCTATGAGACCTGTTAGACCTGAGAGACCTTATAGACCTGAGAGACCTCATAGACCTATGAGACCTGAGAGACCTGAGAGACCTCATAGACCTATGAGACCTGTTAGACCTGAGAGACCTCATAGACCTGAGAGACCTCATAGACCTGATAGACCTGATAGACCTGTGAGACCTCGTAGACCTGTTAGACCTGGGAGACCTGAGAGACCTCATAGACCTGTTAGACCTGAAAGACCTCATAGACCTCATAGACCTGAGAGACCTCATAGACCTGTTAGACCTGAGAGACCTCATAGACCTGAGAGACCTGTGAGACCTCATAGACCTGTTAGACCTGGGAGACCTGAGAGACCTCATAGACCTGTTAGACCTGAGAGACCTCATAGACCTGTTAGACCTGAGAGACCTCATAGACCTGAGAGACCTGTGAGACCTCATAGACCTGTTAGACCTGGGAGACCTGAGAGACCTCATAGACCTGTTAGACCTGAGAGACCTCATAGACCTGAGAGACCTCATAGACCTGTGACACTTTACAGTAACCACAATAGATAGTTTATTAATGTAAGTTAGTCGTTACTTTACTATCAACAAGCAATAAAACTATGATTAATAATTTTCATTAATAGATTATTAATTAAAGGTTTATATCGGGTTTAAATTTTGGTTATAAAACATCTCGATTAAAATGTTTGTCAGCAGAACTTTGTAAATGATAAATATGTGGTTTATAAACCATCTATGAACATGACAGAGATGGTTACTGTAAAGTTAAGGTTAGTTAAGGTTAGTTAAGGTTAGTTAAGGTCAGGGTGTTAAAAGGGTCAAATTAATTTATTTATTAATGGTCTTCAGCTGTTTATAAATAATGATTTAACATTAATAAACTATCTGCTTACAGTTTATAAACAGCCTATTTACCATTTATAAGTTATGGTTATTGTAAAGTGTTAGACCTCATAGACCTGAAAGACCTGATAGACCTGTGAGACCTCATAGACCTCATAGACCTCATAGACCTCATAGACCTCATAGACCTGTCTCTCCAAACTCTGACAGCAGAGCCTGAAGTGTTCGTATTTGAACCTGTGATCACATTTTTCTGTGGGAGTGGCTCATGACCTCACGGCGCCGTCATCAGGGCGTGGTCTTCACACAGATCTAGAGCAGGTAGAGTCAGTGTGTTCAGAGCAGCCGATCTGACTTCAGCTCCTCTCACCTCCTTCTGTCTCAGAAGCTCAGCAGCGCCTCCTGCTGGTCACTGTCTTTGCTCTGAGTGTGAGGTACCAACCCGTGGACGTGTCTCTGGCCATCTCCAGCGGACTGCTCAACGTTCTGTCTCAGCTCTGCGGTACGGAGACCATGCTGGGCCAGCCGCTCCAGCTGCTGCAGAAACCAGGAGTGTCCCAGCTCAGCACCGCCCTCAAAGTGGCCTCCACCCGCCTGCTTCAGATCCTCGCCATCAGTACGGGGTGAGAGCTTCAGGAGGAGTCAGGAGTCGGTCAGCAGAAACACAGAACAGGTCCGATAAACTCCTCTCTATGTTTTCAGGACGTACGCTGACAAGCTCAGTCCGAAGGTGGTCCAGTCTCTGCTGGACCTGCTCTGCAGTCAGCTGAAGAACCTGCTGTCTCAGGCCGGGGTCAGTCTGCTGTCTGCTGGAAAAGACCAGGAGGACACCAAGCAGGAGGAGAGCGCCGACTCGGAGAAGAAAGACTTACGAGGTGAGGAGGAGTTTATCTTCTTTCTCTGAGAGCGCGCTGACTTCTTCATGGGTCTGAAAACTGACGCTGTCTCATATATTCTCATATAGATGTACGTGTTTATATAGATATGTGTCAATATGGATATGTGTGTATATGTATATAAAGATATGTTTATATAGATGTGTGTGTATATGTGTGTGTGTGTAGGTGTTGTTCTGATCAGCTGAGACTCTGGCCTCCAGTCCTCGTCGTTTGTTCAGATCACAGTTAAACTTTAATGACTGAGTTTAAAGTCTGATTGATGGTCAGCTCTGATGAAGAGTTCCTGCGGCCTCAGTCAGGATGTGGACCAGCTCCTCTTGGTTCCTGTTAGGGTCTCTTTTTCTGAACTCCTGTAAATACTAAAGGAGAAACAGCATGGCCTCTTGTCTTTGATGGGTTTGGAGGAACACCTGTAAACTTCAGGACAGGCTGTGTCCTCAGATAACTCACTGTCATTCCTGAGAGCTGGGGCGAGTCTAGAGCACAGTTCATTCAACTATAACAAAAATAATAATAATAA